GCACGGGGGCCTGTCGTCTTTATTCGGGCGGGGGGGGGGTTAGCCGCCAGACCTCAAAAGTCGAGACATCGTTCATTCCTCCATTGCTTTGCCCACTCACCAAATTCCAGTCGATTCGCAGACGTGCGCTGTCCACTGTGGACCCCGAAATCATTAGTGGCAAGAGCAAAAGCCCATGGTCAATCCACGTCTGCGGAGTGATAATGTAGGGGAGGGAGGCGGGGGAGGGCTCGGGTGGCGGGGGAGACATCGGTTCGAGAATTATCGTTCGCTACCGATGTTAGCCGTGGCCGGGATTCCATCAACGTGTATTCCAAGTGAAATCGTTGGTTGTCTCCATCATTTGAGGTGTCGTCTGTAAATTGTAACGGCATGTTCTTTGGGTCTTTCGGTAAAGTAACGTAGATAGGTTCAAAGAAAATAAAAAATAACAAAAAACTACGACGTTTCGATCACAACACAAGCGATCGTCATCAGGAGGGAAACAAAGAGGATACGCTCACGCTACCAGCAACGTGACTTTACCGAAAGACCCAAAGAATATGAATTCCTGCAGTCACGAAAGCTTTAAGTCAAGATTTAAAGGCACGCTCATGGATTTAACATGTGGAGGCGTTTGCGACCAATACAGTAACATGATTCAGAATGTAATTTTTGGGTGAGATCGCGTTAGTAAAAATATATGTCGTAAACCCTCCTCCACCCGACACAGCCAATTGATAAACGTCGTACTATCCAATTGTTACATGTGTGTGGAACGCTGTACAACAACACACCGGTGCTTCTGTCGAAGCAGTCATAGTAATGGCCACGTTTGTTCATCGCGTAACAACTTTATTAAATGGCTGTGTCGACGTGGAGGAGGGTTTACGAGACGCGTCTCTTTTTACTGACGCGACGACCTGACCCAAAACTCTTCCATGATTCGGAATGTGCATGATCATTATAGCACGCTAAATAAAGTAACGTACAGTCCATTGTCAATCAATCCACGGTTGGATGAATTACTCCCGACGCCATGCTGGACATGTGGAGGTCGTTTTTGACTATACTTCACCACGCTGGTGAGTGCGGATTGGTTAAGGTGGGAAATATAGGCGTGGGAACATAGAACTGCAGTACAACGTCGGATGATTTGCGACATCGCCCTCTGCTGCCTTGTCCACCCACCCCCGGGGACTACCCACTAACGATGCAGCATCAGTTTCAGAAATCACTCGCCACTGATGTTAGCAGTGAGGACGTGGCAGTGAGGACGTTCTTAAGATGATGATAACAATCATAGTATAAAAGAAGTGGGGTCGATTGCAGACATCTGTGTGCTGCTCATTCTACACCAAATATCCTAAGATGACGAACGGCTTCCTGATTAGACTTTTCATCTGGTGAGAACTGCTCGACTGCGTGGGCAGTGTTGCACAAACAACAACAGTGCACTCGACGCATTCGCCAATAATAACACTGTTAGTGTGGACGTAAAAGGGGGAAAAAATATACCATAGGTGCTTCTTCAGAGCGCCTAGTATTTTAACGTATTCCTGAAGTCGTTCAAGTTTGCAGTCAGGGTCTATATCCTGAGATAAATCAAACCCACGTGTAAGACTGAGGACACAGGGTAAATTATGGGATGTCGAGTAAATTAATGATTTAACGATGCTGCTGCTGTGTTGGCAGTGATGCACAAACCACTCTAAAACAACATTGTAAAATATAAAAATCATACACTTTTTTTTATTTCACCAGTTAAGGCCCACTGAGCTCTATAGTTATTTTGCAGAAGCGACCTGGCCACAAATGATAGGTCGACGACGTGACATATCGTGTGGAAATGTATAAAAGCCAAATACTCTAAAGGCACGGAGAGAAAATCCACACGACCACAGGGAGAACATGCAACCACCAAATATACAGCCGTCAAGGTTGGGATCGAACTCCACGATCTCCTGTATGCCTGGCGAGGTAGTTAACATCTCGCCACCGTGCACCCATATACACGATGGCTCAAAAATCAGGACACATAGGGTTATTTCATTTATTTGAATACTGGCATTACAACATTTATTTGAAGCTTTCGTGAAGTTTTCGTGACTGCAGGAATCGATACTCTTTGGTTCTTTCGGTAAAGTCACGTAGGTGGAAAATTTATAAAATAAAATAAAAAATAAAAATATCTATTTTTATTTGATTAATTTTCTACCTACGTGACTTTACCGATAGAACCAAAAAGTAACATTTAAATTATTTATTCTTAAGCGAATATTTATCTTTCATTAACATTATCAACACAATTATTATTTTTCTTCTTCTTCCTTTTCAGATTACATTTATAAAAAATCGGCCAAGAAACTCTGAATAAATTGAGACGAAACATAATTGATGAATGTTCAAAGATTACACGAGTAATCTTTAAAAAAAAGTATTAAACTAATTTCGAAAGAGAATGAACGCATTCATTAATGTTAATGGGAGTCAGTTTGAACATGCTTTAAAATAAATGAAGTAACCCGATGCGATTTTGTGCAATAAATATAATCACCCGATGTGTCCTGACTTTTGGGCCACCCTGTATATAATCGGCGACGTTTCGCGCAATGGCCTTTCCTTGTCGCACATCATTATTACGTCTTGATTTAAAGCTTTCGTGACTGCAGGAATTCATACTTTTTGGGTCTTTCGGTAAAGCCACGTCGATAGAAAAATAATAGATCACAATCGTCTTCAGGTGAAGACCTGAAGACGATTGCCTGTGTTGCGATCGAAACGTCGTGATCTATTATTTTGCTATCTCCGCGACTTTACCGAAAGACTCAAAGAGTATAATTATTATGGGCGAGCAAGTAGTATATATACTACTTGTAGTATATATACTACTTGCCACAATCGGACCCCTTAAAGTCGCCGCGTATAATAGGATTCGTGACTAGGAGGGCCAGTGATGAGAAAGAAGGCCTTCTCCGAGTTGTGAGTTGCACCGAGTGCCATCGTTGTTTTCCTTCCACTGCCAAATATTCAGTGGATCTTGGCCAACTTTCCGAAATGTTATCTAGCACCAAAACCAAAGTTTACCAGAAGCAACAACGCGCGTTTGGAGTGACGTCCCTAACAACCTACCTCCACATCCAAAGTCGGAGTTTACCGAGGCTATTATATTGGTATTATCGCTGCGAGCGAACTTGTTGACCCGTAACGGAAAATAAAGAGACAGCTGCCTTCATGTTAATGATCACAATCATCCTGTACTCGGAGCACGACAAGCAATTTGATGTTTTGTTTTATGCAGTAGTAGTAGTAGTAATAATACAATGCCGAGATAATGTTTTGTTCGGTTTATTTTGTTGACATTATGTAGGATTTAAATAATATCCTGGCGCATGAATGACATTGATAGGAGCACACATTGAAAAGTTAGAGCGATTATAAGTTAACTGTGGTCAGTGTCTTATATTGGGTTACTTCGCGCGCCACTTTGGTGCCACGATCATTATGATTACGTCTTTTGAAAGTCTTCAATCCAATGTTTATTTGTTACACGGAAAATCCCGTTTAGCCAGTTGCCCCATCTCGTTTCAGAATCAAAATAATCAGAATCTTGATTTACACTGCAGGAGGAATCTGATGATCTATCAAGCTCTTTTTCACAGATGCCCAGAAATGGCGGCTCAACAGGTTACAATAACAAACAATGCAAAAAAACTATCGGAGTGCAAAAAATAGAGAATAGGGAAGCAAGTCACTAAAATAAATAAACATTTACAATGTGTAAATTCCTGCCTATTTTCAACACTAAGTGCAAACTTGGGCAAGGCCGCAAAACAACAGCAAAAAACAGTGCCAGACCTACACCAAGACAACAACACAGTCCCTCAATAAAATATCACATCAAAATTGAACTATCGATGCACGGGTAAGGATCAGAGTTACAGATCACAATTGGAAGTGTGGCTGTATCCAGCACCACTCTTCTGCCCCCAGCCACTCACAATAGAGTTATTAAAGTGAGCTCAGTCAGCAGCCAGCCAGGAAGCTCAAGGCATATACATTATTTTAACAGTACGAAGGGTTGTTGTCTTTTCTTTGCCGGTAAATCCTTTCTGAGATATACTCGCAGCCCTGTATCCGACTGCCCGTGGTATACAGGCGGAGAGAACTGCTTTTTGTGTTTTGATTGTTACCCTTTCTACCGCACCTCCCATTACACTGTGTAACACGATTTTTGTCGCTGGGTAGCAAGTGTTAGCTTTTAATTGCTTATGCCTAAAAAGTAGAGAAAATGGCTATTAATCGACACAAACTTTGCTTTTGTGACCAAGACTTTACGTGAAGGAATGACACATGCACACCACGTTTTCTCATTGAAAATAAGTAAATTTCAAAATATCAATGTCCCGGTCACAAAAGCAAAGTTTGTGGGGAATAATAGCCATTTTCTCTACTTTTGAGGCATAAGCAATTAGGAAATAACACTTACTACCCAGGGTCAATTTTTGTTGTTACACAGTGTTATCACAGTTGGTTAAGTACGGTGCGAAAGAAGTTCAACATACGAACATTTGCAAACATGTAGAGAAAATGGCAGCTGCACGCCATCCGCAATGAGGTTACTGGGGGCAAATAAAATAATTAAAGTAAGGCGATGCACGGTGATTGACGAATGCGTTGAGCTGTTTTTTTGTTGTATAATGTTTACATTTATAAACTGGCACTGCACGCGCATTTTCGGCCCGATGCACTAAACCCGCGCAACGCTGTGGGACGCAAACTTACCCGCACGCCCGCCAGCCAGCCAGCCAGCCAGCAAAACTTTATTTTAATATAATACCGTACCGTACATGAGATTGATAACACATGACCGCGTGTAAGGAGGTCGGATATGTGAACATCGATCTAACACGGGTTACACCATGCGCTGATGCTGCAACTGGATACGAGCGGTTAAATGGTTAGGGCGGATATGTGGTGCGTAGTACTGTTTTTAATTTGTGATTTGTTTTGTGTTCTAGGCCTCGATTAAAGTGACGCGGGGTGGTGGCGCTAATTTTCATTCGCGTCTCCGAGCGCGTGGTGGAAATTCCACATTCGCAAGACAGGAGCACGTCCATCAATCGGCCGATTTACTGTTGTTGTCTGAAAGTAGTAATAATCTATGTGTATATATGCAAATAAAGATATGTATATATGTTTAATGATCCCTTTGTCAATCCACTGCTGGATTAATCATGCCTCCACACACATTGCCTGTCATTGGAGTTGCTTGACCATACTTCAACACGCTGCTCAGTTCGGCTTGGAGCCTTAGATGGGCAGGTCGCCCTTGAAATAAGTAATATTTAAAAATACTTTTTTTTTTAAAACACGCTTTAATGAAATGTACCGTACGAGTAATGGCAAAACTCCACGACTCCAGGAAGTGGCCCTGAAGCTTGCCACAACGTAATGGACCGTGGTGATTTACAGCCAACGTCAGTTGACCGTGGACAATTAGACCCAAGCCGAAATATAACATCGAATTTTTTTTACAAATATATATTTTTAATGATATCATCAGTATGACATACGTATACTAAGTTTGCAGTCGATACCACATTTGGAAGTGGGTTAAAATTGAGATACAAGATTTGAGGATACAACTACAACAACAGACAGAGCGAGTTAAATAAAAGCATGTAAATAATAATCATAATAAAGATCTGTTGCGCTCAGCTGGTTTCAACTCCATCAACACAGTCTGCGTCTGAGAAAGATGCGGAGGGAGACCCAGAACTCGGTTCGGATATCAAGAGCGCACTGAGGTTAGCTGTGCAATCGAACTCTTTGTGTCCGGGTTCACGGAGAAGTACGCAAACCACGCTTCCACATCAAACACATCGGCTCATCTACGCGTGTGTGTGTGTGTGCGCGTGTGCTCGCTGACAGCACTTGCCCTAACAGTCTGTTAGAGGCTACACGGGGGACCTTTGTGAGCGAGTGGGTCCGTTGGGAATCGGTACCGCAGCGAGCTGCTTGCGCGATGCGCTACGAACCCGGTCAACCCGAGTTCGAGTCCCACTCACGGCTACTAACAGCAGCGGTGATTATCTGAACCGGTCCTGGGCTTCCCCGAGGTCGACTCAGCCTGAAATGAGTACCTGGTTTGCGGTGTGTAAAAATCTTCGCGAGTGAGACAAAGGCGGCCGGGCGTGATGTTGGCCACCCCTCCGCCACCTTGTACTCAATAACCGTGATTTAAAAAAAAACAAAAACAAAGATGCCTTCAAACAAGAAACAGTGTCTGTGTTGTTGTCTACACGGTGTGGTTTGAATACGCTGTCACATTATGCGTCTGTGTGTGTGTTCGTCTACATGTGTTCAGAGTGTGCGTGTGTCTGTGTGTCTGCTGTAGAGGGAGCGGTGGCGCAGCAGTTAGCGCGCTGCGCTATGAACCCGGCGACACCGAATTTGATTCCCGCTCACGGCCACGAACACCCTAGTGACGAGTATCTTCACCGGTCCTAGACCTCCCCCTACGTCCACTCAGCCCCAAAATGAGCACGTGGTTTTCATGTGTAAACATCGCTACAAGGGAGACAAAGGCGGCCGGGCGTGGTGCTGGCCACCCCCACCCCCTTCGTGTGCCGCGTCGGCCTTCGTAGGTGCTCGCTAACAGCACTTGCCCCAACAGGTCTGTTAAGGCTACACGGGGGATCTTTGTCTTTATTATTGTGTGTGTGTGCGCAACCTCTACACCAACGTGGGTGAGACCCCCCCCACCTTCCTCCCCTCCCCCCACCCCCTGCCCCTCCCCCCGCTGTCTCCCACGTCGTTTCCAGTAAGTGATGTGACTCTGAAGCAGCCGTCACGTGATCACTGAGGTGGAAGGAGGGGGGGGCATGCCCCTCCCCGCCCTCCCCCCCCACCAGGTGTCCTCCCCAATCTGACCCCGCCCCTCAGCCGTGAACTCCAAATCGATTCCACAGCGGCCTCTAGCGGTGTTCTGAAGCTACTCAACTATCCGATCTAGATTTGAAGTTTTCGTGACTGCAGGGATCCATACTCTTTGAATTTATTTTACTTTATACCTACGTGACTTTACCGTGATCGAGGTTTTTGTTGTGTGTTGGGTGAAACCGCGTAATTATGAATGTGTCGGTAAACCCGCCACCACCCGACACAGCCACTGAGTAAGGTTTGTCACGTAAACAGAACGTGGCCAATTCGTCACTAGTACAGCACACCATGTGTGTTGGAGAGCAAATCCACAACATTTGCAATATCTGAGTACGACGTTTCGCCAGTAATTACAACTAGCTTCATCAGGCGACAGCCAGATTTGTGGAGAAATCCTCCTGTTTCGCTCCTTAATTAAGAAGGATAGATGTGATGACGTCACTTGTTGAAATTTGAACAGGTAAGGCACCCCACTGAGCTGCACGTACTTGCTATAGTTCTTTTTCAGAAGCGACCTGGCCGCAAATGATAGCTCAACGAAGTGGGTTATCATCGTGTGGAAATTTTTCAGCCGCTAAATACTTTAAACGCGTGACGTTGAGTCTAAATGTGGAGGGGGAAAACCGAAGGATCCGGAGAAAAATCCACGCGACCACGAGGAGGGAGAGAGAGAGAGCCAAACTCCAAACATACAGCAGGCGTCAGGGTCGGGATCGAACCCACAAATTCCTGTATAGCAGGCGAGGTAGTTAACATCTCCCCATCGCGGCGCCCCATTCACAAAACAGTACTGCACGTTGGTCATGGAATTAAAAGAGCCAAAAACGCCAGCGACAAACGGCACTGTTGCACGAGATAAGGGTGAATGCGTTTTTTGGGGGTCGTTCGGGAAAAAAAAACCACGTAGATAGGTTCAAAGAAAATAACAAAAAAACGACGACGTTTCGATCACAACACAAGCGATTCTCATTAGGAGGCAAAACAAAAAAGGGGAAAGCTGTTTTTTTATTGCCTCCTGATGACGATCGCTTGTGTTGTGATCGAAACGTCGTCGTTTTTTGGTTATTTTTTTGTCATTTTCTTTGAACCCATCGACGTGACTTTACCGAAAGACCCAAATAACATGAATTACTGCAGTCACGAAAGCTTTAAGTCAAGGTGAACACGTTCTTGAAAATTGAGCAAGGTGATGGGTTGGGGAAAGAGGCGATCGGAGGCAAGAAGAGACAAAGAAGTGAATGGCCCTGTGGGGCTTTACCTGGTGAGAGCAAACATTTTAACTTAATTTGTAAGTGCCCTTTGTGCTTCGACGGTGTTGTTGTATTGTTTGTTGTTGTAACGTTCTAACCCGCCCCCACTGGACATCTGATTCTATTTGCTTGTTTTTATGCTTGACGGATACGAGAAAGGACGGATGATGCTGTCGGCTACGTTCGTATGGCTTGAGGCGACGCGAATCAGAAGATAGTGGTATTAATAAAGTGACGCATTTGCAAAACGACGTAAAAAAGGGGATACGTAAATCTGGGCATTACTGAATAACTATTGCTCTCTTACAAAGTATACCACAGTCAAAGACCGTCGACACTGGCGGTAGCTATAGAAAGATTATTGCGACAACAATTTATTTACACAAAAATCCCACGCCAGGACTTACTGCAAATAGGATAAATAAAGAATTGTGCGTCCATACAAATAAAAATATAGTTAGTTAAAATGTTGTCGCAGACGTATATAAATAAACCCCGTATACAGCATGAAACACTTTGGAACGTTATTCATCAGAATCTTTATTTAGACTGCAGGATGAATCTGATGAGCTATGAAGCTCTTTTTCACAGATGTCCAGTATGGTCGGGCCAACAAGTGACAACAACAAACAGTACAAAAACAATAATAATAAACGATAGGACTGCAAAGTATAGGAAAGGTAAGCAAACCTCTAACAAAAACTATAAAGCCAACTGAGCTGTCACATGTTACAGGGAATGGCGCTCTCTTTAAGACATGGGTCCTAGCTTGACGCAAAATTATAAAATGCACGACTCAAAGTAATGTACATATTTGATGTAAAGCTTTCGTGACTGCAGGAAATCATATTCTTGGTTCCTTCGGTAAAGTCACGTAGAAGGGAAACAGTAAAATAATAAAAAATACTATATTATTTTATTATTATATTGATATAATAAAAATATTATTATTTTATTGTTTCCCTTCTACGTGACTTTACCGAAAGAACCAAGAACATAATGTACATGTGTTGAAAATATTTAGCACCGTAGGCAGCCAACTGTTCTAATGGGAGGTGCGGGGGGAAGAACAAGAAACGAAAAACAAAAATCAGTGCTCAAGAAATTAGTTTTCCATCCAGATTATTTAAAAGTGCATAGCTCAAGTGGCTTCCCAATATCGGAAGGAAGGGCGTTCCAGACGGCCGCGGAAGCGCATCTGAAAGCGCGCGATGCGGTGACCGTCTTCGTTCAACGGGCAGCCAAAAGCCACTGGCTGCGAGGATGACCAGAGACCGGAGTTCGTGTGATGGTTTATGCTACATTTTTTTTAAAATATGCTTTTTATTACAACCAAACGCGAGTCCGACACATCGCGCTGAAGTATTCCGGTGACGGGGTTACATGAAAAAGCGCGATAATCCATTCCGGCGCGACTGAATCACACGATAGGGGGAATGAAGGAAATGGATCGAGGGTTCCGGCTGCCCCAACCAAATGAGGACCTCGCGTTAGGGAGAAACATGAAGATTTCAATGGGGAGGAGAAAAATGGGGGGGGGGAACCAACACGCTAAGGGGAGACCAAGGATAGAGGGGGAAGTATGGGGGGGAGGGAAATAAGAGGGAGAGAAATGGGGGGAACAAATACAAACCGTAGAAATCGAAAAACAAACATGCAGCGAGTGGGCTTACAAGGAGTCCTTCCACCGCTCCTAAGTCTGCCGCCGCTTGATCACCGAGGGGCTTCTCTGCCCCATCAAGTAATGAGGAGCGTCGTGGTTTTATATATGCGCCGCGGTGGCTAGGAGATGTTAACTACCTCGCCTGGTATACAGGAAGTCGTGGGTTCGACCCTGACGCCTGTACTATATTTGTAGTTCGCATGTCTCTCTCTCATCATCATCATCACGGTGGCTAGGAGATGTTAACTACCTCGCCTGGTATACAGGAAGTCGTGGGTTCGATCCCGATCCCGACTCTGACGCCTGTACTATATTTGTAGTTCGCATGTTCTCTCTCTCCCCGTGCTGGCTTGCATTTTTTTCTCCGGGTCCTCCGGTTTTTCCCTCGACATTTAGAAACATGCCATTGGAGTATTTGGCTGCTATACATTGCCACAGAAGCTACTTCATTGGGCTATCATTTGTGGCCAGGTCGCTTATGAAAAAGAGCTATAATAGCTCAGTGGGCCTTACCTGGTGAAATAAAAAAAATGTTCATATTTTCGTTTGTTTCGCGACAACGCTCGCTCTTGTCGAGTCGACGTGGTTACAGCTCTCCCCTGCCCCCTGGTGCGTGCAGAGAGTTACAACTGCACGTGGCCACTCGAATTCCGGTCCTCGCGACCCACCCACGCTACATCTTTCCGCCAGAAGGCGGTACAAGCCAGTGTGGACTCATCTCCATCTGTTATCATTCACATGTCTGCACCTGCACGTAAAAAAGTGGAGTTTTTAAAAAAAACACATTCTATTCGCCACTAGGCCTTCTGGGAGTGCATCATTTTAGTAGCATTGCTTCAATTGCAACAACAACTCTGGACCGGATTCACCATTCAGTGTCTCGTCGGCAGACGCCAGTCTTGCTTGCACCATTGGTTCAACACAAGCAACACTCTTAGACCGGTTTTAAACATTCAGGAACTCATCAGCACAGTCAGGCTCGCTCCAATCGATGCTGGTGAACTACCCAGATGTTTGTAGTCTTGGACCAACTTCTGTTCGACTTAGACTCGAGTACGTGCATCACCGCCAAAAAGACAAAGATCACCCGTATAGCCTGAACAGACTGTTGGGGCAAGTGCTGTAAGCGAGGACAGTACGCGTGCGGGTGGGTGGCCAGCATCACGCCCGACCGCCTTTGTCTCCCCAAGTGGCGATGTTTACACACCGCACGACTCATTTGAGACTAAGTCGACCCAGGGGAGACCCAGGACCGACATCAACACCAATACCAATACCCCCGCCATTCGCCACTAAGTGACGGTGATGTCACAACGGCGCCTGTGCCAGGCTAGGTGCACTTTGAGGCTGCCACGTGAAGTGTCGAAGGCTCGCTGCTGACAGGAGGAGGTCTCGGGACAGACCCAGCAGGTGCCATGGGTTGGCTGACTGAAATGACCGGCAGATGCACCACCAGCTGTACAAACTTTGCTTCATTTTATCCGCCCGGCTCTCCGCTCGTTGTTGTGAGCAGCGTCGCCCCTCTGCCCTCCGTCGTTTCCGGAGGGCTGCCCCAGCAGCAGCAGCAGCAGCAGCTGCCCCAGCAGCAGCAGCAGCAGCAGCTGCCCCAGCAGCAGCAGCAGCTGCCCCAGCAGCTGCCCCAGCAGCAGCAGCAGCTGCCCCAGCAGCAGCAGCAGCAGCAGCAGCTGCCCCAGCAGCAGCAGCAGCAGCAGCTGCCCCAGCAGCAGCAGCAGCAGCAGCTGCCCCAGCAGCAGCAGCAGCAGCAGCAGCTGCCCCAGCAGCAGCAGCAGCAGCTGCCCCAGCAGCAGCAGCAGCAGCAGCTGCCCCAGCAGCAGCAGCAGCTGCCCCAGCAGCAGCAGCAGCAGCAGCTGCCCCAGCAGCAGCAGCAGCTGCCCCAGCAGCAGCAGCAGCTGCCCCAGCAGCAGCAGCAGCTGCCCCAGCAGCAGCAGCAGCAGCAGCTGCCCCAGCAGCAGCAGCAGCAGCTGCCCCAGCAGCAGCAGCAGCAGCTGCCCCAGCAGCAGCAGCAGCAGCTGCCCCAGCAGCAGCAGCAGCAGCTGCCCCAGCAGCAGCAGCAGCAGCTGCCCCAGCAGCAGCAGCAGCAGCAGCTGCCCCAGCAGCAGCAGCAGCAGCAGCTGCCCCAGCAGCAGCAGCAGCAGCTGCCCCCGCAGCAGCAGCAGCAGCTGCCCCAGCAGCAGCAGCAGCAGCAGCTGCCCCAGCAGCAGCAGCAGCAGCAGCTGCCCCAGCAGCAGCAGCAGCAGCTGCCCCAGCAGCAGCAGCAGCAGCTGCCCCAGCAGCAGCAGCAGCAGCAGCAGCTGCCCCAGCAGCAGCAGCAGCAGCTGCCCCAGCAGCAGCAGCAGCAGCTGCCCCAGCAGCAGCAGCAGCAGCAGCTGCCCCAGCAGCAGCAGCAGCAGCAGCTGCCCCAGCAGCAGCAGCAGCAGCAGCTGCCCCAGCAGCAGCAGCAGCAGCAGCTGCCCCAGCAGCAGCAGCAGCAGCAGCAGCTGCCCCAGCAGCAGCAGCAGCAGCAGCTGCCCCAGCAGCAGCAGCAGCAGCAGCTGCCCCAGCAGCAGCAGCAGCAGCAGCTGCCCCAGCAGCAGCAGCAGCAGCAGCAGCAGCTGCCCCAGCAGCAGCAGCAGCAGCAGCAGCTGCCCAGCAGCAGCAGCAGCTGCCCCAGCAGCAGCAGCAGCAGCAGCAGCTGCCCCAGCAGCAGCAGCAGCAGCAGCTGCCCCAGCAGCAGCAGCAGCAGCAGCTGCCCCAGCAGCAGCAGCAGCAGCAGCAGCTGCCCCAGCAGCAGCAGCAGCAGCAGCTGCCCCAGCAGCAGCAGCAGCAGCAGCAGCTGCCCCAGCAGCAGCAGCAGCAGCAGCTGCCCCAGCAGCAGCAGCAGCAGCTGCCCCAGCAGCAGCAGCAGCAGCAGCAGCTGCCCCAGCAGCAGCAGCAGCAGCAGCAGCTGCCCCAGCAGCAGCAGCAGCAGCAGCAGCTGCCCCAGCAGCAGCAGCAGCAGCAGCAGCTGCCCCAGCAGCAGCAGCAGCAGCAGCTGCCCCAGCAGCAGCAGCAGCAGCAGCAGCTGCCCCAGCAGCAGCAGCAGCAGCTGCCCCAGCAGCAGCAGCAGCAGCAGCTGCCCCAGCAGCAGCAGCAGCAGCAGCAGCTGCCCCAGCAGCAGCAGCAGCAGCAGCAGCTGCCCCAGCAGCAGCAGCAGCAGCAGCAGCTGCCCCAGCAGCAGCAGCAGCAGCAGCAGCAGCAGCTGCCCCAGCAGCAGCAGCAGCAGCAGCAGCAGCTGCCCCAGCAGCAGCAGCAGCAGCAGCAGCTGCCCCAGCAGCAGCAGCAGCAGCAGCTGCCCCAGCAGCAGCAGCAGCAGCAGCTGCCCCAGCAGCAGCAGCAGCAGCAGCAGCTGCCCCAGCAGCAGCAGCAGCAGCAGCAGCTGCCCCAGCAGCAGCAGCAGCAGCAGCTGCCCCAGCAGCAGCAGCAGCAGCAGCAGCTGCCCCAGCAGCAGCAGCAGCAGCAGCAGCTGCCCCAGCAGCAGCAGCAGCAGCAGCAGCTGCCCCAGCAGCAGCAGCAGCAGCAGCAGCAGCTGCCCCAGCAGCAGCAGCAGCAGCAGCTGCCCCAGCAGCAGCAGCAGCAGCAGCAGCAGCTGCCCCAGCAGCAGCAGCAGCAGCAGCAGCTGCCCCAGCAGCAGCAGCAGCAGCAGCTGCCCCAGCAGCAGCAGCAGCAGCAGCAGCAGCAGCAGCAGCTGCCCCAGCAGCAGCAGCAGCAGCAGCAGCTGCCCCAGCAGCAGCAGCAGCAGCAGCTGCCCCAGCAGCAGCAGCAGCAGCAGCTGCCCACAGCAGCAGCAGCAGCAGCAGCTGCCCCAGCAGCAGCAGCAGCAGCTGCCCCAGCAGCAGCAGCAGCAGCAGCTGCCCCAGCAGCAGCAGCAGCAGCAGCAGCTGCCCCAGCAGCAGCAGCAGCAGCAGCTGCCCCAGCAGCAGCAGCAGCAGCAGCTGCCCCAGCAGCAGCAGCAGCAGCAGCAGCTGCCCCAGCAGCAGCAGCAGCAGCAGCAGCTGCCCCAGCAGCAGCAGCAGCAGCAGCTGCCCCAGCAGCAGCAGCAGCAGCAGCTGCCCCAGCAGCAGCAGCAGCAGCAGCAGCTGCCCCAGCAGCAGCAGCAGCAGCAGCAGCTGCCCCAGCAGCAGCAGCAGCAGCAGCAGCTGCCCCAGCAGCAGCAGCAGCAGCAGCTGCCCCAGCAGCAGCAGCAGCAGCAGCTGCCCCAGCAGCAGCAGCAGCAGCAGCTGCCCCACAGCAGCAGCAGCAGCAGCAGCTGCCCCAGCACCAGCAGCAGCAGCAGCTGCACCAGCAGCAGCAGCAGCAGCAGCTGCCCCAGCAGCAGCAGCAGCAGCAGCTGCCCCAGCAGCAGCAGCAGCAGCAGCTGCCCCAGCAGCAGCAGCAGCAGCAGCAGCTGCCCCAGCAGCAGCAGCAGCAGCAGCTGCCCCAGCAGCAGCAGCAGCAGCAGCAGCTGCCCCAGCAGCAGCAGCAGCAGCAGCAGCTGCCCCAGCAGCAGCAGCAGCAGCAGCTGCCCCAGCAGCAGCAGCAGCAGCAGCAGCTGCCCCAGCAGCAGCAGCAGCAGCAGCAGCTGCCCCAGCAGCAGCAGCAGCAGCAGCAGCTGCCCCAGCAGCAGCAGCAGCAGCAGCAGCTGCCCCAGCAGCAGCAGCAGCAGCAGCTGCCCCAGCAGCAGCAGCAGCAGCAGCTGCCCCAGCAGCAGCAGCAGCAGCAGCAGCTGCCCCAGCAGCAGCAGCAGCAGCAGCAGCTGCCCCAGCAGCAGCAGCAGCAGCAGCTGCCCCAGCAGCAGCAGCAGCAGCAGCAGCTGCCCCAGCAGCAGCAGCAGCAGCAGCTGCCCCAGCAGCAGCAGCAGCAGCAGCAGCTGCCCAGCAGCAGCAGCAGCAGCAGCTGCCCCAGCAGCAGCAGCAGCAGCAGCTGCCCCAGCAGCAGCAGCAGCAGCAGCAGCTGCCCCAGCAGCAGCAGCAGCAGCAGCAGCTGCCCCAGCAGCAGCAGCAGCAGCAGCAGCTGCCCCAGCAGCAGGCAGCAGCAGCAGCAGCTGCCCCAGCAGCAGCAGCAGCAGCAGCTGCCCCCAGCAGCAGCAGCAGCAGCAGCAGCTGCCCCAGCAGCAGCAGCAGCAGCAGCTGCCCCAGCAGCAGCAGCAGCAGCATGCCCAGCAGCACAGCAGCAGCAGCAGCTGCCCCAGCAGCAGCAGCAGCAGCAGCAGCTGCCCCAGCAGCAGCAGCAGCAGCAGCTGCCCCAGCAGCAGCAGCAGCAGCAGCAGCTGCCCCAGCAGCAGCAGCAGCAGCAGCAGCAGCTGCCCCAGCAGCAGCAGCAGCAGCAGCAGCTGCCCCAGCAGCAGCAGCAGCAGCAGCAGCAGCTGCCCCAGCAGCAGCAGCAGCAGCAGCTGCCCCAGCAGCAGCAGCAGCAGCAGCAGCTGCCCCAGCAGCAGCAGCAGCAGCAGCAGCTGCCCCAGCAGCAGCAGCAGCAGCAGCAGCTGCCCCAGCCAGCAGCAGCAGCAGCAGCTGCCCCAGCAGCAGCAGCAGCAGCAGCAGCTGCCCCAGCAGCAGCAGCAGCAGCAGCAGCTGCCCCAGCAGCAGCAGCAGCAGCAGCAGCTGCCCCAGCAGCAGCAGCAGCAGCAGCAGCAGCTGCCCCAGCAGCAGCAGCAGCAGCAGCAGCTGCCCCAGCAGCAGCAGCAGCAGCAGCAGCTGCCCCAGCAGCAGCAGCAGCAGCAGCAGCAGCAGCCCCAGCAGCAGCAGCAGCAGCAGCAGCTGCCCCAGCAGCAGCAGCAGCAGCAGCAGCTGCCAGCAGCAGCAGCAGCAGCTGCCCCAGCAGCAGCAGCAGCAGCAGCAGCTGCCCCAGCAGCAGCAGCAGCAGCAGCAGCAGCTGCCCCAGCAGCAGCAGCAGCAGCAGCAGCTGCCCCAGCAGCAGCAGCAGCAGCAGCAGCTGCCCCAGCAGCAGCAGCAGCAGCAGCTGCCCCAGCAGCAGCAGCAGCAGCAGCAGCTCCCAGCAGCAGCAGCAGCAGCAGCAGCTGCCCCAGCAGCAGCAGCAGCAGCAGCAGCAGCTGCCCCAGCAGCAGCAGCAGCAGCAGCAGCTGCCCCAGCAGCAGCAGCAGCAGCAGCAGCTGCCCCAGCAGCAGCAGCAGCAGCAGCAGCTGCCCCAGCAGCAGCAGCAGCAGCAGCAGCTGCCCCAGCAGCAGCAGCAGCAGCAGCAGCTGCCCAGCAGCAGCAGCAGCAGCAGCAGCAGCAGGCAGCTGCCCAGCAGCAGCAGCAGCAGCAGCAGCAGCTGCCCCAGCAGGCAGCAGCAGCAGCAGCTGCCCCAGCAGCAAGCAGCAGCAGCAGCAGCTGCCCCAGCAGCAGCAGCAGCAGCAGCAGCTGCCCCAGCAGCAGCAGCAGCAGCAGCAGCTGCCCCAGCAGCAGCAGCAGCAGCAGCTGCCCAGCAGCAGCAGCAGCAGCAGCAGCAGCTGCCCCAGCAGCAGCAGCAGCAGCAGCTGCCCCAGCAGCAGCAGCAGCAGCAGCAGCTGCCCCAGCAGCAGCAGCAGCAGCAGCATCTGCCCCAGCAGCAGCAGCAGCAGCAGCTGCCCCAGCAGCAGCAGCAGCAGCAGCAGCTGCCCCAGCAGCAGCAGCAGCAGCAGCAGCTGCCCCAGCAGCAGCAGCAGCAGCAGCAGCTGCCCCAGCAGCAGCAGCAGCAGCAGCAGCTGCCCCAGCAGCAGCAGCAGCAGCAGCAGCAGCTGCCCCAGCAGCAGCAGCAGCAGCAGCAGCTGCCCCAGCAGCAGCAGCAGCAGCAGCAGCTGCCCCAGCAGCAGCAGCAGCAGCAGCAGCTGCCCCAGCAGCAGCAGCAGCAGCAGCAGCTGCCCCAGCAGCAGCAGCAGCAGCAGCAGCAGCTGCCCCAGCAGCAGCAGCAGGCAGCAGCAGCTGCCCCAGCAGCAGCAGCAGCAGCAGCAGCAGCTGCCCCAGCAGCAGCAGCAGCAGCAGCAGCTGCCCCAGCAGCAGCAGCAGCAGCAGCTGCCCCAGCAGCAGCAGCAGCAGCAGCTGCCCCAGCAGCAGCAGCAGCAGCAGCAGCTGCCCCAGCAGCAGCAGCAGCAGCAGCTGCCCCAGCAGCAGCAGCAGCAGCAGCAGCTGCCCCAGCAGCAGCAGCAGCAGCAGCTGCCCCAGCAGCAGCAGCAGCAGCAGCAGCTGCCCCAGCAGCAGCAGCAGCAGCAGCTGCCCAGCAGCAGCAGCAGCAGCAGCTGCCCCAGCAGCAGCAGCAGCAGCAGCTGCCCCAGCAGCAGCAGCAGCAGCAGCTGCCCCAGCAGCAGCAGCAGCAGCAGCAGCTGCCCCAGCAGCAGCAGCAGCAGCAGCAGCAGCTGCCCCAGCAGCAGCAGCAGCAGCAGCTGCCCCAGCAGCAGCAGCAGCAGCAGCAGCAGCCCCAGCAGCAGCAGCAGCAGCAGCAGCAGCTGCCCCAGCAGCAGCAGCAGCAGCAGCTGCCCCAGCAGCAGCAGCAGCAGCAGCAGCTGCCCCAGCAGCAGCAGCAGCAGCAGCAGCTGCCCCAGCAGCAGCAGCAGCAGCAGCAGCCGCCCCAGCAGCAGCAGCAGCAGCAGCTGCCCCAGCAGCAGCAGCAGCAGCAGCAGCTGCCCCAGCAGCAGCAGCAGCAGCAGCTGCCCCAGCAGCAGCAGCAGCAGCAGCAGCTGCCCCAGCAGCAGCAGCAGCAGCAGCAGCAGCTGCCCCAGCAGCAGCAGCAGCAGCAGCAGCTGCCCCAGCAGCAGCAGCAGCAGCAGCAGCTGCCCCAGCAGCAGCAGCAGCAGCAGCAGCTGCCCCAGCAGCAGCAGCAGCAGCAGCTGCCCAGCAGCAGCAGCAGCAGCAGCAGCTGCCCCAGCAGCAGCAGCAGCAGCAGCAGCTGCCCCAGCAGCAGCAGCAGCAGCAGCAGCTGCCCCAGCAGCAGCAGCAGCAGCAGCAGCTGCCCCAGCAGCAGCAGCAGCAGCAGCAGCTGCCCCAGCAGCAGCAGCAGCAGCAGCTGCCCCAGCAGCAGCAGCAGCAGCAGCAGCTGCCCAGCAGCAGCAGCAGCAGCAGCAGCTGCCCCAGCAGCAGCAGCAGCAGCAGCAGCTGCCCCAGCAGCAGCAGCAGCAGCAGCAGCTGCCCCAGCAGCAGCAGCAGCAGCAGCAGCTGCCCAGCAGCAGCAGCAGCAGCAGCAGCTGCCCCAGCAGCAGCAGCAGCAGCAGCAGCTGCCCCAGCAGCAGCAGCAGCAGCAGCTGCCCCAGCAGCAGCAGCAGCAGCAGCAGCTGCCCCAGCAGCAGCAGCAGCAGCAGCAGCTGCCCCAGCAGCAGCAGCAGCAGCAGCTGCCCCAGCAGCAGCAGCAGCAGGCAGCAGCTGCCCATCAGCAGCAGCAGCAGCAGCAGCTGCCCCCAGCAGCAGCAGCAGCAGCAGCAGCTGCCCCAGCAGCAGCAGCAGCAGCAGCTGCCCCAGCAGCAGCAGCAGCAGCAGCAGCTGCCCCAGCAGCAGCAGCAGCAGCAGCTGCCCCAGCAGCAGCAGCAGCAGCAGCAGCTGCCCCAGCAGCAGCAGCAGCAGCAGCAGCTGCCCCAGGCAGCAGCAGCAGCAGCAGCTGCCCCAGCAGCAGCAGCAGCAGCAGCTGCCCCCAGCAGCAGCAGCAGCAGCAGCAGCAGCTGCCCCAGCAGCAGCAGCAGCAGCAGCAGCAGCTGCCCCAGCAGCAGCAGCAGCAGCAGCTGCCCCAGCAGCAGCAGCAGCAGCAGCAGCTGCCCCAGCAGCAGCAGCAGCAGCAGCTGCCCAGCAGCAGCAGCAGCAGCAGCAGCTGCCCCAGCAGCAGCAGCAGCAGCAGCTGCCCAGCAGCAGCAGCAGCAGCAGCTGCCCCAGCAGCAGCAGCAGCAGCAGCAGCAGCTGCCCAGCAGCAGCAGCAGCAGCAGCTGCCCCAGCAGCAGCAGCAGCAGCAGCAGCTGCCCCAGCAGCAGCAGCAGCAGCAGCTGCCCCAGCAGCAGCAGCAGCAGCAGCTGCCCCAGCAGCAGCAGCAGCAGCAGCAGCTGCCCCAGCAGCAGCAGCAGCAGCAGCAGCTGCCCCAGCAGCAGCAGCAGCAGCAGCTGCCCCAGCAGCAGCAGCAGCAGCAGCAGCTGCCCCAGCAGCAGCAGCAGCAGCAGCTGCCCCAGCAGCAGCAGCAGCAGCAGCAGCTGCCCCAGCAGCAGCAGCAGCAGCAGCAGCTGCCCCAGCAGCAGCAGCAGCAGCAGCTGCCCCAGCAGCAGCAGCAGCAGCAGCAGCTGCCCCAGCAGCAGCAGCAGCAGCAGCAGCTGCCCCAGCAGCAGCAGCAGCAGCAGCAGCTGCCCCAGCAGCAGCAGCAGCAGCAGCAGCTGCCCCAGCAGCAGCAGCAGCAGCAGCAGCTGCCCCCAGCAGCAGCAGCAGCAGCAGCCTGCCCCAGCAGCAGCAGCAGCAGCAGCAGCTGCCCCAGCAGCAGCAGCAGCAGCAGCAGCTTCCCCAGCAGCAGCAGCAGCAGCAGCAGCTGCCCCAGCAGCAGCAGCAGCAGCAGCTGCCCCAGCAGCAGCAGCAGCAGCAGCAGCTGCCCCAGCAGCAGCAGCAGCAGCAGCAGCTGCCCCAGCAGCAGCAGCAGCAGCAGCTGCCCAGCAGCAGCAGCAGCAGCAGGCAGCTGCCCCCAGCAGCAGCAGCAGCAGCAGCAGCAGCTGCCCCAGCAGCAGCAGCAGCAGCAGCTGCCCCAGCAGCAGCAGCAGCAGCAGCAGCTGCCCCAGCAGCAGCAGCAGCAGCAGCAGCTGCCCCAGGCAGCAGCAGCAGCAGCAGCTGCCCCAGCAGCAGCAGCAGCAGCTGCCCCAGCAGCAGCAGCAGCAGCAGCAGCTGCCCCAGCAGCAGCAGCAGCAGCAGCTGCCCCAGCAGCAGCAGCAGCAGCAGCAGCTGCCCAGCAGCAGCAGCAGCAGCAGCAGCTGCCCCAGCAGCAGCAGCAGCAGCAGCAGCTGCCCCAGCAGCAGCAGCAGCAGCAGCTGCCCCAGCAGCAGCAGCAGCAGCAGCAGCTGCCCCAGCAGCAGCAGCAGCAGCAGCAGCTGCCCCAGCAGCAGCAGCAGCAGCAGCTGCCCCAGCAGCAGCAGCAGCAGCAGCTGCCCCAGCAGCAGCAGCAGCAGCAGCAGCAGCTGCCCAGCAGCAGCAGCAGCAGCAGCAGCTGCCCCAGCAGCAGCAGCAGCAGCAGCAGCTGCCCCAGCAGCAGCAGCAGCAGCAGCAGCTGCCCCAGCAGCAGCAGCAGCAGCAGCTGCCCCAGCAGCAGCAGCAGCAGCAGCAGCTGCCCCAGCAGCAGCAGCAGCAGCAGCAGCAGCTGCCCCAGCAGCAGCAGCAGCAGCAGCTGCCCCAGCAGCAGCAGCAGCAGCAGCAGCTGCCGCAGCAGCAGCAGCAGCAGCAGCAGCAGCTGCCCAGCAGCAGCAGCAGCAGCAGCAGCAGCTGCCCCAGCAGCAGCAGCAGCAGCAGCTGCCCCAGCAGCAGCAGCAGCAGCAGCAGCTGCCCCAGCAGCAGCAGCAGCAGCTGCCCGCAGTCAGCAGCAGCAGCAGCAGCTGCCCCAGCAGCAGCAGCAGCAGCAGCTGCCCCAGCAGCAGCAGCAGCAGCAGCAGCTGCCCAGCAGCATCAGCAGCAGCAGCAGCAGCTGCCCCAGCAGCAGCAGCAGCACTGCCCAGCAGCAGCAGCAGCAGCATGCTTCCCCAAGGCAGCAGCAGCAGCAGCTGCCCCAGCAGCAGCAGACAGCAGCAGCTGCCCCACAGCAGCAGCAGCAGCAGCTGCCCCAGCAGCAGCAGCAGCAGCAGCTGTGCCCCAGCAGCAGCAGCAGCAGCAGCCTGCCCAGCAGCAGCAGCAGCAGCAGCAGCAGCTGCCCCAGCAGCAGCAGCAGCAGCAGCTGCCCCAGCAGCAGCAGCAGCAGCAGCAGCTGCCCCAGCAGCAGCAGCAGCAGAGCAGCAGCTGCCCCAGCAGCAGCAGCAGCAGCAGCTGCCCCAGCAGCAGGCAGCAGCAGCAGCTGCCCCAGCACGCAGCAGCAGCTGCCCCAGCAGCAGCAGCAGCAGCAGCAGCTGCCCCACAGCAGCAGCAGCAGCAGCAGCTGCCCCAGCAGCAGCAGCAGCAGCAGCAGCTGCCCCAGCAGCAGCAGCAGCAGCAGCAGCAGCTGCCCCAGCAGCAGGCAGCAGCAGCAGCAGCTGCCCCAGCAGCAGCAGCAGCAGCAGCAGCTGCCCCAGCAGCAGCAGCAGCAGCAGCAGCTGCCCCAGCAGCACAGCAGCAGCAGCAGCTGCCCCAGCAGCAGCAGCAGCAGCAGCAGCTGCCCCAGCAGCAGCAGCAGCAGCAGCAGCTGCCCCCAGCAAGCAGCAGCAGCAGCAGCTGCCCAGCAGCAGCAGCAGCAGCAGCAGCAGCTGCCCCAGCAGCAGCAGCAGCAGCAGCAGCTGCCCCAGCAGCAGCAGCAGCAGCAGCAGCTGCCCCAGCAGCAGCAGCAGCAGCAGCTGCCCCAGCAGCAGCAGCAGCAGCAGCAGCAGCTGCCCCAGCAGCAAGCAGCAGCAGCAGCAGCTGCCCCAGCAGCAGCAGCAGCAGCAGCTGCCCCAGCAGCAGCAGCAGCAGCAGCAGCTGCCCCAGCAGCAGCAGCAGCAGCAGCTGCCCCAGCAGCAGCAGCAGCAGCAGCAGCTGCCCCAGCAGCAGCAGCAGCAGCAGCAGCTGCCCCAGCAGCAGCAGCAGCAGCAGCAGCTGCCCCAGCAGCAGCAGCAGCAGCAGCAGCAGCTGCCCCAGCAGCAGCAGCAGCAGCAGCTGCCCGCAGCAGCAGCAGCAGCAGCAGCTGCCCCAGCAGCAGCAGCAGCAGCTGCCCCAGCAGCAGCAGCAGCAGCAGCAGCTGCCCAGCAGCAGCAGCAGCAGCAGCAGCTGCCCAGCAGCAGCAGCAGCAGCAGCAGCTGCCCCAGCAGCAGCAGCAGCAGCAGCAGCTGCCCCAGCAGCAGCAGCAGCAGCAGCAGCAGCAGCAGCAGCGGCCCAGCAGCAGCAGCAGCAGCAGCAGCAGCTGCCCCAGCAGCAGCAGCAGCAGCAGCAGCTGCCCCAGCAGCAGCAGCAGCAGCAGCAGCAGCTGCCCCAGCAGCAGCAGCAGCAGCAGCTGCCCCAGCAGCAAGCAGCAGCAGCAGCAGCTGCCCCAGCAGCAGCAGCAGCAGCAGCAGCTGCCCCAGCAGCAGCAGCAGCAGCAGCAGCTGCCCCAGCAGCAGCAGCAGCAAGCAGCAGCTGCCCAGCAGCAGCAGCAGCAGCAGCTGCCCCAGCAGCAGCAGCAGCAGCTGCCCCAGCAGCAGCAGCAGCAGCAGCTGCCCCAGCAGCAGCAGCAGCAGCAGCTGCCCAGCAGCAGCAGCAGCAGCAGCAGCTGCCCCAGCAGCAGCAGCAGCAGCAGCAGCTGCCCCAGCAGCAGCAGCAGCAGCAGCTGCCCCAGCAGCAGCCAGCAGCAGCTGCCCCAGCAGCAGCAGCAGCAGCAGCTGCCCCAGCAGCAGCAGCAGCAGCAGCAGCTGCCCCAGCAGCAGCAGCAGCAGCAGCAGCTGCCCCAGCAGCAGCAGCAGCAGCTGCCCCAGCAGCAGCAGCAGCAGCAGCTGCCCCAGCAGCAGCAGCAGCAGCAGCTGCCCAGCAGCAGCAGGCAGCAGCAGCTGCCCCAGCAGCAGCAGCAGCAGCAGCAGCTGCCCCAGCAGCAGCAGCAGCAGCAGCTGCCCCAGCAGCAGCAGCAGCAGCAGCAGCTGCCCCAGCAGCAGCAGCAGCAGCAGCTGCCCCAGCAGCAGCAGCAGCAGCAGCAGCTGCCCCAGCAGCAGCAGCAGCAGCAGCAGCTGCCCCAGCAGCAGCAGCAGCAGCAGCAGCTGCCCCAGCAGCAGCAGCAGCAGCAGCAGCTGCCCCAGCAGCAGCAGCAGCAGCAGCTGCCCCAGCAGCAGCAGCAGCAGCAGCAGCAGCTGCCCCCAGCAGCAGCAGCAGCAGCAGCTGCCCCAGCAGCAGCAGCAGCAGCAGCTGCCCCAGCAGCAGCAGCAGCAGCAGCAGCTGCCCCAGCAGCAGCAGCAGCAGCAGCAGCTGCCCCAGCAGCAGCAGCAGCAGCAGCTGCCCCAGCAGCAGCAGCAGCAGCAGCTGCCCCAGCAGAGGCAGCAGCAGCAGCAGCTGCCCCAGCAGCAGCAGCAGCAGCAGCAGCTGCCCCAGCAGCAGCAGCAGCAGCAGCAGCTGCCCAGCAGCAGCAGCAGCAGCAGCAGCAGCTGCCCCAGCAGCAGCAGCAGCAGCAGCTGCCCCAGCAGCAGCAGCAGCAGCAGCAGCTGCCCCAGCAGCAGCAGCAGCAGCAGCTGCCCCAGCAGCAGCAGCAGCAGCAGCAGCTGCCCCAGCAGCAGCAGCAGCAGCAGCTGCCCCAGCAGCAGCAGCAGCAGCAGCTGCCCCAGCAGCAGCAGCAGCAGCAGCAGCTGCCCCAGCAGCAGCAGCAGCAGCAGCAAGCTGCCCCAGCAGCAGCAGCAGCAGCAGCTGCCCCAGCAGCAGCAGCAGCAGCAGCAGCTGCCCCAGCAGCAGCAGCAGCAGCAGCAGCTGCCCCAGCAGCAGCAGCAGCAGCAGCAGCTGCCCAGCAGCAGCAGCCAGCAGCAGCAGCTGCCCCAGCAGCAGCAGCAGCAGCAGCAGCAGCTGCCCCAGCAGCAGCAGCAGCAGCAGCAGCTGCCCCAGCAGCAGCAGCAGCAGCAGCAGCTGCCCCAGCAGCAGCAGCAGCAGCAGCAGCAGCTGCCCCCAGCAGCAGCAGCAGCAGCAGCAGCTGCCCCAGCAGCAGCAGCAGCAGCAGCAGCTGCCCAGCAGGCAGCAGCAGCAGCAGCAGCTGCCCCCAGCTGAGCAGCAGCAGCAGCAGCTGCCCCAGCAGCAGCAGCAGCAGCAGCTGCCCCAAGCCCAGCAGCAGCAGCAGCAAGCTTGCCCCAGCAGCAGCAGCAGCAGCAGCAGCTGCCCCAGCAGCACAGCAGCAGCAGCTGCCCCAGCAGCAGCAGCAGGCAGCAGCAGCTGCCCCAGCAGCAGCAGTCAGCAGCTGCCCCAGCAGCAGCAGCAGCAGCAGCAGCTGCCCAGCAGCAGCAGCAGCAGCGCAGCAAGCTGCCCCAGCAGCAGCAGCAGCAGCAGCAGCAGCTGCCCCAGCAGCAGCAGCAAGCAGCAGCAGCTGCCCCCAGCAGCAGCAGCAGCAGCAGCAGCTGCCCCAGCAGCAGCAGCAGCAGCAGCAGCTGCCCCAGCAGCAGCAGCAGCAGCAGCTGCCCCAGCAGCAGCAGCAGCAGCAGCTGCCCCAGCAGCAGCAGCAGCAGCAGCTGCCCCAGCAGCAGCCAGCAGCAGCAGCAGCTGCCCCAGCAGCAGCAGCAGCAGCAGCTGCCCCAGCAGCAGCAGCAGCAGCAGCATGCCCCAGCAGCAGCAGCAGCAGCAGCTGCCCAGCAGCAGCAGCAGCAGCAGCAGCTGCCCCAGCAGCAGCAGCAGCAGCAGCTGCCCCAGCAGCAGCAGCAGCAGGCAGCTGCCCCAGCAGCAGCAGCAGCAGCAGCAGCTGCCCCAGCAGCAGCAGCAGCAGCAGCAAGCTGCCCCAGCAGCAGCAGCAGCAGCAGCTGCCCCAGCAGCAGCAGCAGCAGCAGCTGCCCCAGCAGCAGCAGCAGCAGCAGCAGCAGCTGCCCCAGCAGCAGCAGCAGCAGCAGCAGCTGCCCCCGCAGCAGCAGCAGCAGCAGCTGCCCCAGCAGCAGCAGCAGCAGCAGCAGCTGCCCCAGCAGCAGCAGCAGCAGCAGCAGCAGCTGCCCCAGCAGCAGCAGCAGCAGCAGCTGCCCCAGCAGCAGCAGCAGCAGCAGCAGCTGCACCAGCAGCAGCAGCAGCAGCAGCAGCTGCCCCAGCAGCAGCAGCAGCAGCAGCTGCCCCAGCAGCAGCAGCAGCAGCAGCTGCCCCCGCAGCAGCAGCAGCAGCAGCAGCTGCCCCAGCAGCAGCAGCAGCAGCAGCAGCTGCCCCAGCAGCAGCAGCAGCAGCAGCTGCCCCAGCAGCAGCAGCAGCAGCAGCTGCCCCAGCAGCAGCAGCAGCAGCTGCCCCAGCAGCAGCAGCAGGCAGCAGCTGCCCCAGCAGCAGCAGCAGCAGCAGCTGCCCCAGCAGCAGCAGCAGCAGCAGCTGCCCCAGCAGCAGCAGCAGCAGCAGCAGCTGCCCAGCAGCAGCAGCAGCAGCAGCAGCTGCCCCAGCAGCAGCAGCAGCAGCAGCTGCCCCAGCAGCAGCAGCAGCAGCAGCAGCAGCCCCAGCAGCAGCAGCAGCAGCAGCTGCCCCAGCAGCAGCAGCAGCAGCAGCTGCCCCAGCAGCAGCAGCAGCAGCAGCAGCTGCCCCAGCAGCAGCAGCAGCAGCAGCAGCTGCCCCAGCAGCAGCAGCAGCAGCAGCAGCTGCCCCAGCAGCAGCAGCAGCAGCAGCTGCCCCAGCAGCAGCAGCAGCAGCAGCAGCTGCCCCAGCAGCAGCAGCAGCAGGCAGCTGCCCCACAGCAGCAGCAGCAGCTGCCCCAGCAGCAGCAGCAGCAGCTGCCCCAGCAGCAGCAGCAGCAGCAGCAGCTGCCCCAGCAGCAGCAGCAGCAGCAGCTGCCCCAGCAGCAGCAGCAGCAGCTGGCCCCAGCAGCAGCAGCAGCAGCAGCAGCTGCCCCAGCAGCAGCAGCAGCAGCAGCTGCCCCAGCAGCAGCAGCAGCAGCAGCAGCTGCCCCAGCAGCAGCAGCAGCAGCAGCAGCTGCCCCAGCAGCAGCCAGCAGCAGCAGCAGCTGCCCCAGCAGCAGCAGCAGCAGCAGCAGCTGCCCCAGCAGCAGCAGCAGCAGCAGCAGCTGCCCCAGCAGCAGCAGCAGCAGCAGCAGCAGCTGCCCCAGCAGCAGCAGCAGCAGCAGCAGCTGCCCCAGCAGCAGCAGCAGCAGCAGCTGCCCCAGCAGCAGCAGCAGCAGCAGCAGCTGCCCCAGCAGCAGCAGCAGCAGCAGCTGCCCCAGCAGCAGCAGCAGCAGCAGCTGCCCCAGCAGCAGCAGCAGCAGCAGCTGCCCCAGCAGCAGCAGCAGCAGCAGCTGCCCCAGCAGCAGCAGCAGCAGCAGCAGCTGCCCCAGCAGCAGCAGCAGCAGCAGCTTGCCCCAGCAGCAGCAGCAGCAGCAGCAGCAGCTGCCCCAGCAGCAGCAGCAGCAGCAGCAGCTGCCCCAGCAGCAGCAGCAGCAGCAGCAGCTGCCCCAGCAGCAGCAGCAGCAGCAGCAGCTGCCCCAGCAGCAGCAGCAGCAGCAGCAGCTGCCCCAGCAGCAGCAGCAGCAGCAGCTGCCCCAGCAGCAGCAGCAGCAGCAGCAGCTGCCCCAGCAGCAGCAGCAGCAGCAGCTGCCCCAGCAGCAGCAGCAGCAGCAGCTGCCCCAGCAGCAAGCAGCAGCAGCAGCTGCCCCAGCAGCAGCAGCAGCAGCAGCAGCTGCCCCAGCAGCAGCAGCAGCAGCAGCTGCCCCAGCAGCAGCAGCAGCAGCAGCAGCTGCCCCAGCAGCAGCAGCAGCAGCAGCAGCTGCCCCAGCAGCAGGCAGCAGCAGCAGCTGCCCCAGGCAGCAGCAGCAGCAGCTGCCCCAGCAGCAGCAGCAGCAGCAGCCGCCCCAGCAGCAGCAGCAGCAGCAGCTGCCCCAGCAGCAGCAGCAGCAGCAGCAGCAGCTGCCCCAGCAGCAGCAGCAGCAGCAGCTGCCCCAGCAGCAGCAGCAGCAGCAGCAGCAGCTGCCCCAGCAGCAGCAGCAGCAGCAGCTGCCCCAGCAGCAGCAGCAGCAGCAGCTGCCCCAGCAGCAGCAGCAGCAGCAGCAGCTGCCCCAGCAGCAGCAGCAGCAGCAGCTGCCCCAGCAGCAGCAGCAGCAGCAGCTGCCCCAGCAGCAGCAGCAGCAGCAGCTGCCCCAGCAGCAGCAGCAGCAGCAGCAGCTGCCCCAGCAGCAGCAGCAGCAGCAGCTGCCCAGCAGCAGCAGCAGCAGCAGCTGCCCCAGCAGCAGCAGCAGCAGCAGCAGCTGCCCCAGCAGCAGCAGCAGCAGCAGCAGGCCAAGCAGCAGCAGCAGCAGCTGCCCCAGCAGCAGCAGCAGCAGCAGCTGCCCCAGCAGCAGCAGCAGCAGCAGCAGCTGCCCAGCAGCAGCAGCAGCAGCAGCAGCAGCTGCCCCAGCAGCAGCAGCATGCAGCAGCAGCTGCCCCAGCAGCAGCAGCAGCAGCAGCAGCTGCCCCCAGCAGCAGCAGCAGCAGCAGCAGCTGCCCCAGCAGCAGCAGCAGCAGCAGCAGCTGCCCCCAGCAGCAGCAGCAGCAGCAGCAGCTGCCCCAGCAGCAGCAGCAGCAGCAGCTGCCCCAGCAGCAGCAGCAGCAGCAGCAGCAGCTGCCCCAGCAGCAGCAGCAGCAGCAGCTGCCAGCAGCAGCAGCAGCAGCAGCAGCTGCCCCAGCAGCAGCAGCAGCAGCTGCCCAGCAGCAGCAGCAGCAGCAGCAGCAGCTGCCCAGCAGCAGCAGCAGCAGCAGCTGCCCCAGCAGCAGCAGCAGCAGCAGCTGCCCCAGCAGCAGCAGCAGCAGCAGCAGCTGCCCCAGCAGCAGCAGCAGCAGCAGCAGCTGCCCCAGCAGCAGCAGCAGCAAAGCAGCAGCTGCCCCAGCAGCAGCAGGCAGCAGCTGCCCAGCAGCAGCACAGCAGCAGCAAGCAGCAGCCCAGCAGCTGCCCAAGCAGCAGCAGCAGCAGCAGCTGCCCCGCAGCAGCAGCAGCAGCAGCAGCTGCCCCAGCAGCAGCAGCAGCAGCAGCTGCCCCAGCAGCAGCAGCAGCAGCAGCAGAGCTGCCCCAGCAGCAGCAGCCAGCAGCAGCAGCTGCCCCAGCAGCAGCCAGGCAGCAGCAGCAGCTGCCCCAGCACAGCAGCAGCAGCAGCAGCTGCCCACAGCAGCAGCAGCAGCAGCAGCAGCTGCCCCAGCAGCAGAAGCAGCACGCAGCTGCCCAGCAGCAGCAGCGGCTGCCCCAGCAGCAGCAGCGCAGCAGCTGCCCAGCAGCAGCAGCAGCAGCAGCTGCCCCAGCAGCAGCAGCAGCAGCAGCTGCCCCAGCAGCAGCAGCAGCAGCAGCAGCAGCTGCCCCAGCAGCAGCAGCAGCAGCAGCTGCCCCAGCAGCAGCAGCAGCAGCAGCTGCCCCAGCAGCAGCAGCAGCAGCAGCAGCTGCCCCAGCAGCAGCAGCAGCAGCAGCTGCCCCAGCAGCAGCAGCAGCAGCAGCTGCCCAGCAGCAGCAGCAGCAGCCAGCTGCCCCAGCAGCAGCAGCAGCAGCAGCAGCTGCCCCAGCAGCAGCAGCAGCAGCAGCAGCTGCCCCCAGCAGCAGCAGCAGCAGCAGCAGCTGCCCCAGCAGCAGCAGCAGCAGCAGCAGCTGCCCAGCAGCAGCAGCAGCAGCAGCTGCCCCAGCAGCAGCAGCAGCAGCAGCAGCTGCCCCACAGCAGCAGCAGCAGCAGCAGCTGCCCCAGCAGCAGCAGCAGCAGCAGCAGCTGCCCCAGCAGCAGCAGCAGCAGCAGCTGCCCCAGCAGCAGCAGCAGCAGCAGCTGCCCCAGCAGCAGCAGCAGCAGCAGCTGCCCCAGCAGCAGCAGCAGCAGCAGCAGCTGCCCCAGCAGCAGCAGCAGCAGCAGCTGCCCCAGGCAGCAGCAGCAGCAGCAGCAGCTGCCCCAGCAGCAGCAGCAGCAGCAGCTGCCCCAGCAGCAGCAGCAGCAGCAGCTGCCCCCGCAGCAGCAGCAGCAGCAGCTGCCCCAGCAGCAGCAGCAGCAGCAGCTGCCCCAGCAGCAGCAGCAGCAGCAGCAGCTGCCCCAGCAGCAGCAGCAGCAGCTGCCCCAGCAGCAGCAGCAGCAGCAGCAGCTGCCCCAGCAGCAGCAGCAGCAGCAGCTGCCCCAGCAGCAGCAGCAGCAGCAGCAGCAGCTGCCCCAGCAGCAGCAGCAGCAGCAGCAGCTGCCCCAGCAGCAGCAGCAGCAGCAGCAGCAGCTGCCCCAGCAGCAGCAGCAGCAGCAGCAGCTGCCCCCAGCAGCAGCAGCAGCAGCAGCAGCTGCCCCAGCAGCAGCAGCAGCAGCAGCAGCTGCCCCAGCAGCAGCAGCAGCAGCAGCTGCCCCAGCAGCAGCAGCAGCAGCAGCAGCTGCCCCAGCAGCAGCAGCAGCAGCAGCTGCCCCAGCAGCAGCAGCAGCAGCAGCTGCCCCAGCAGCAGCAGCAGCAGCAGCAGCAGCTGCCCAGCAGCAGCAGCAGCAGCAGCAGCAGCTGCCCCAGCAGCAGCAGCAGCAGCAGCAGCTGCCCCAGCAGCAGCAGCAGCAGCTGCCCCAGCAGCAGCAGCAGCAGCAGCTGCCCAGCAGCAGCAGCAGCAGCAGCTGCCCCAGCAGCAGCAGCAGCAGCAGCTGCCCCAGCAGCAGCAGCAGCAGCAGCTGCCCCCAGCAGCAGCAGCAGCAGCAGCAGCAGCTGCCCCAGCAGCAGCAGCAGCAGCAGCAGCAGCTGCCCCAGCAGCAGCAGCAGCAGCAGCAGCAGCTGCCCCAGCAGCAGCAGCAGCAGCAGCAGCTGCCCCAGCAGCAGCAGCAGCAGCAGCAGCTGCCCCAGCAGCAGCAGCAGCAGCAGCTGCCCCAGCAGCAGCAGCAGCAGCAGCTGCCCCAGCAGCAGCAGCAGCAGCAGCAGCTGCCCCAGCAGCAGCAGCAGCAGCAGCAGCTGCCCCAGCAGCAGCAGCAGCAGCAGCTGCCCCAGCAGCAGCAGCAGCAGCAGCAGCTGCCCCAGCAGCAGCAGCAGCAGCAGCAGCTGCCCCAGCAGCAGCAGCAGCAGCAGCAGCTGCCCCAGCAGCAGCAGCAGCAGCAGCTGCCCCAGCAGCAGCAGCAGCAGCAGCAGCTGCCCCAGCAGCAGCAGCAGCAGCAGCAGCAGCTGCCCCAGCAGCAGCAGCAGCAGCAGCTGCCCCAGCAGCCAGCAGCAGCAGCAGCAGCAGCTGCCCAGCAGCAGCAGCAGCAGCAGCAGCAGCTGCCCCAGCAGCAGCAGCAGCAGCAGCTGCCCCAGCAGCAGCAGCAGCAGCAGCAGCTGCCCCCAGCAGCAGCAGCAGCAGCAGCTGCCCCAGCAGCAGCAGCAGCAGCAGCTGCCCCAGCAGCAGCAGCAGCAGCAGCTGCCCAGCAGCAGCAGCAGCAGCAGCAGCTGCCCCAGCAGCAGCAGCAGCAGCAGCTGCCCCAGCAGCAGCAGCAGCAGCAGCAGCTGCCCCAGCAGCAGCAGCAGCAGCAGCAGCTGCCCCAGCAGCAGCAGCAGCAGCAGCAGCTGCCCCAGCAGCAGCAGCAGCAGCAGCAGCTGCCCAGCAGCAGCAGCAGCAGCAGCAGCAGCTGCCCCAGCAGCAGCAGCAGCAGCAGCTGCCCCAGCAGCAGCAGCAGCAGCAGCAGCGCCCCAGCAGCAGCAGCAGCAGCAGCAGCTGCCCCAGCAGCAGCAGCAGCAGCAGCAGCTGCCCCAGCAGCAGCAGCAGCAGCAGCTGCCCCAGCAGCAGCAGCAGCAGCAGCAGCTGCCCCAGCAGCAGCAGCAGCAGCAGCAGCTGCCCCAGCAGCAGCAGCAGCAGCAGCTGCCCCAGCAGCAGCAGCAGCAGCAGCAGCTGCCCCAGCAGCAGCAGCAGCAGCAGCAGCTGCCCCAGCCAGCAGCAGCAGCAGCAGCAGCTGCCCCAGCAGCAGCAGCAGCAGCAGCTGCCCCAGCAGCAGCAGCAGCAGCAGCAGCTGCCCCAGCAGCAGCAGCAGCAGCAGCTGCCCCAGCAGCAGCAGCAGCAGCAGCTGCCCCAGCAGCAGCAGCAGCAGCAGCAGCTGCCCCAGCAGCAGCAGCAGCAGCAGCAGCTGCCCCAGCAGCAGCAGCAGCAGCAGCAGCTGCCCAGCAGCAGCAGCAGCAGCAGCAGCTGCCCCAGCAGCAGCAGCAGCAGCAGCAGCAGCAGCAGCAGCAGCAGCAGCTGCCCCAGCAGCAGCAGCAGCAGCAGCAGCAGCTGCCCCAGCAGCAGCAGCAGCAGCAGCTGCCCCAGCAGCAGCAGCAGCAGCAGCTGCCCAGCAGCAGCAGCAGCAGCAGGCCAGCAGCAGCAGCAGCAGCAGCTGCCCCAGCAGCAGCAGCAGCAGCAGCAGCTGCCCCAGCAGCAGCAGCCGCAGCAGCTGCCCCAGCAGCAGCAGCAGCAGCAGCAGCTGCCCCAGCAGCAGCAGCAGCAGCTGCCCCAGCAGCAGCAGCAGCAGCAGCAGCTGCCCAGCAGCAGCAGCAGCAGCAGCAGCTGCCCCAGCAGCAGCAGCAGCAGCAGCTGCCCCAGCAGCAGCAGCAGCAGCAGCAGCTGCCCCAGCAGCAGCAGCAGCAGCAGCAGCTGCCCCAGCAGCAGCAGCAGCAGCAGCTGCCCCAGCAGCAGCAGCAGCAGCAGCAGCAGCTGCCCCAGCAGCAGCAGCAGCAGCAGCTGCCCCAGCAGCAGCAGCAGCAGCAGCTGCCCCAGCAGCAGCAGCAGCAGCAGCAGCTGCCCCAGCAGCAGCAGCAGCAGCAGCTGCCCCAGCAGCAGCAGCAGCAGCAGCTGCCCCAGCAGCAGCAGCAGCAGCAGCAGCTGCCCCAGCAGCAGCAGCAGCAGCAGCTGCCCCAGCAGCAGCAGCTGCCAGCAGCAGCAGCAGCTGCCCCAGCAGCAGCAGCAGCAGCAGCAGCTGCCCCAGCAGCAGCAGCAGCAGCAGCTGCCCCAGCAGCAGCAGCAGCAGCAGCTGCCCCAGCAGCAGCAGCAGCAGCAGCAGCTGCCCCAGCAGCAGCAGCAGCAGCAGCTGCCCCAGCAGCAGCAGCAGCAGCAGCTGCCCCAGCAGCAGCAGCAGCAGCAGCTGCCCCAGCAGCAGCAGCAGCAGCAGCAGCAGCTGCCCCAGCAGCAGCAGCAGCAGCAGCTGCCCCAGCAGCAGCAGCAGCAGCAGCAGCTGCCCCAGCAGCAGCAGCAGCAGCAGCAGCTGCCCCAGCAGCAGCAGCAGCAGCAGCAGCTGCCCCAGCAGCAGCAGCAGCAGCAGCAGCTGCCCCAGCAGCAGCAGCAGCAGCAGCAGCTGCCCCAGCAGCAGCAGCAGCAGCAGCAGCAGCTGCCCCAGCAGCAGCAGCAGCAGCAGCAGCTGCCCCAGCAGCAGCAGCAGCAGCAGCAGCTGCCCCAGCAGCAGCAGCAGCAGCAGCAGCAGCTGCCCCAGCAGCAGCAGCAGCAGCAGCTGCCCCAGCAGCAGCAGCAGCAGCAGCAGCTGCCCCAGCAGCAGCAGCAGCAGCTGCCCCAGCAGCAGCAGCAGCAGCAGCAGCTGCCCCAGCAGCAGCAGCAGCAGCAGCAGCTGCCCCAGCAGCAGCAGCAGCAGCAGCTGCCCCAGCAGCAGCAGCAGCAGCAGCAGCTGCCCCAGCAGCAGCAGCAGCAGCAGCAGCTGCCCCAGCAGCAGCAGCAGCAGCAGCAGCTGCCCCAGCAGCAGCAGCAGCAGCAGCAGCTGCCCCAGCAGCAGCAGCAGCAGCAGCAGCTGCCCCAGCAGCAGCAGCAGCAGCAGCAGCTGCCCCAGCAGCAGCAGCAGCAGCAAGCAGCTGCCCCAAGCAGCAGCAGCAGCAGCAGCAGCTGCCCCAGCAGCAGCAGCAGCAGCAGCTGCCCCAGCAGCAGCAGCAGCAGCAGCAGCTGCCCCAGCAGCAGCAGCAGCAGCAGCAGCTGCCCCAGCAGCAGCAGCAGCAGCAGCAGCTGCCCCAGCAGCAGCAGCAGCAGCAGCAGCTGCCCCAGCAGCAGCAGCAGCAGCAGCAGCTGCCCCAGCAGCAGCAGCAGCAGCAGCTGCCCCAGCAGCAGCAGCAGCAGCAGCAGCTGCCCCAGCAGCAGCAGCAGCAGCAGCAGCTGCCCCAGCAGCAGCAGCAGCAGCAGCAGCTGCCCCAGCAGCAGCAGCAGCAGCAGCAGCAGCTGCCCCAGCAGCAGCAGCAGCAGCAGCAGCTGCCCCCAGCAGCAGCAGCAGCAGCAGCAGCTGCCCCAGCAGCAGCAGCAGCAGCAGCAGCTGCCCCAGCAGCAGCAGCAGCAGCAGCTGCCCCAGCAGCAGCAGCAGCAGCAGCGTGCCCCAGCAGCAGCAGCAGCAGCAGCAGCTGCCCCAGCAGCAGCAGCAGCAGCAGCTGCCCCAGCAGCAGCAGCAGCAGCAGCAGCTGCCCCAGCAGCAGCAGCAGCAGCAGCTGCCCCAGCAGCAGCAGCAGCAGCAGCAGCAGCTGCCCCAGCAGCAGCAGCAGCAGCAGCAGCAGCTGCCCCAGCAGCAGCAGCAGCAGCAGCAGCTGCCCCAGCAGCAGCAGCAGCAGCAGCAGCTGCCCAGCAGCAGCAGCAGCAGCAGCTGCCCCAGCAGCAGCAGCAGCAGCAGCTGCCCCAGCAGCAGCAGCAGCAGCAGCTGCCCCAGCAGCAGCAGCAGCAGCAGCAGCTGCCCCAGCAGCAGCAGCAGCAGCAGCAGCAGCTGCCCCAGCAGCAGCCAGCAGCAGCAGCTGCCCCAGCAGCAGCAGCAGCAGCAGCTGCCCCGCAGCAGCAGCAGCAGCAGCAGCTGCCCCAGCAGCAGCAGCAGCAGCAGCAGCTGCCCCAGCAGCAGCAGCAGCAGCAGCAGCTGCCCCAGCAGCAGCAGCAGCAGCAGCAGATCGCCCCAGCAGCAGCAGGCAGCAGCAGCAGCAGCAGCAGCAGCTGCCCCCAGCAGCAGCAGCAGCAGCAGCAGGCTGCCCCAGCAGCAGCAGCAGCAGCAGCAGCTGCCCCAGCAGCAGCAGCAGAGCAGCAGCAGCAGCTGCCCCAGCAGCAGCAGCAGCAGCAGCAGCTGCCCCAGCAGCAGCAGCAGCAGCAGCAGCTGCCCCCAGCAGCAGCAGCAGCAGCAGCTGCCCCAGCAGCAGCAGCAGCAGCCTTGCCCCAGCAGCAGCAGCAGCAGCAGCAGCTGCCCCAGCAGCAGCAGCAGCAGCTGCCCCAGCAGCAGCAGCAGCAGCAGCAGCTGCCCAGCAGCAGCAGCCAGCAGCAGCTGCCCCAGCAGCAAGCAGCAGCAGCAGCAGCCTGCCCCAGCAGCAGCAGCAGCAGCAGCAGCTGCCCAGCAGCATCAGCAGCAGCAGCAGCTGCCCCAGCAGCAGCAGCAGCAGCAGCAGCTGCCCCAGCAGCAGCAGCAGCAGCAGCAGCTGCCCCAGCAGCAGCAGCAGCAGCAGCTGCCCCAGCAGCAGCAGCAGCAGCAGCAGCAGCTGCCCCAGCAGCAGCAGCAGCAGCAGCAGCTGCCCCAGCAGCAGCAGCAGCAGCAGCAGCTGCCCCAGCAGCAGCAGCAGCAGCTGCCCCAGCAGCAGCAGCAGCAGCAGCAGCTGCCCCAGCAGCAGCAGCAGCAGCAGCAGCTGCCCCAGCAGCAGCAGCAGCAGCAGCAGCTGCCCCAGCAGCAGCAGCAGCAGCAGCAGCTGCCCCAGCAGCAGCAGCAGCAGCAGCAGCTGCCCCAGCAGCAGCAGCAGCAGCAGCTGCCCCAGCAGCAGCAGCAGCAGCAGCAGCAGCTGCCCCAGCAGCAGCAGCAGCAGCAGCAGCTGCCCCAGCAGCAGCAGCAGCAGCAGCAGCTGCCCCAGCAGCAGCAGCAGCAGCAGCAGCTGCCCCAGCAGCAGCAGCAGCAGCAGCAGCTGCCCAGCAGCAGCAGCAGCAGCAGCAGCAGCTGCCCCAGCAGCAGCAGCAGCAGCAGCAGCTGCCCCAGCAGCAGCAGCAGCAGCAGCAGCTGCCCCAGCAGCAGCAGCAGCAGCAGCAGCTGCCCCAGCAGCAGCAGCAGCAGCAGCAGCAGCTGCCCCAGCAGCAGCAGCAGCAGCAGCAGCAGCTGCCCCCAGCAGCAGCAGCAGCAGCAGCTGCCCCAGCAGCAGCAGCAGCAGCAGCAGCAGCTGCCCCAGCAGCAGCAGCAGCAGCAGCAGCTGCCCCAGCAGCAGCAGCAGCAGCAGCAGCTGCCCCAGCAGCAGCAGCAGCAGCAGCAGCTGCCCCCAGCAGCAGCAGCAGCAGCAGCAGCTGCCCCAGCAGCAGCAGCAGCAGCAGCAGCTGCCCCAGCAGCAGCAGCAGCAGCAGCAGCTGCCCCAGCAGCAGCAGCAGCAGCAGCAGCTGCCCCAGCAGCAGCAGCAGCAGCAGCAGCTGCCCCAGCAGCAGCAGCAGCAGCAGCTGCCCCAGCAGCAGCAGCAGCAGCAGCTGCCCCAGCAGCAGCAGCAGCAGCAGCAGCAGCTGCCCCAGCAGCAGCAGCAGCAGCAGCAGCAGCTGCCCCAGCAGCAGCAGCAGCAGCAGCAGCTGCCCCAGCAGCAGCAGCAGCAGCAGCAGCTGCCCCAGCAGCAGCAGCAGCAGCAGCAGCTGCCCCAGCAGCAGCAGCAGCAGCAGCAGCTGCCCCAGCAGCAGCAGCAGCAGCTGCCCCAGCAGCAGCAGCAGCAGCTGCCCCAGCAGCAGCAGCAGCAGCTGCCCCAGCAGCAGCAGCAGCAGCAGCAGCTGCCCCAGCAGCAGCAGCAGCAGCAGCTGCCCCAGCAGCAGCAGCAGCAGCAGCAGCTGCCCCAGCAGCAGCAGCAGCAGCAGCAGCTGCCCCAGCAGCAGCAGCAGCAGCTGCCCCAGCAGCAGCAGCAGCAGCAGCTGCCCCAGCAGCAGCAGCAGCAGCAGCTGCCCCAGCAGCAGCAGCAGCAGCAGCAGCTGCCCCAGCAGCAGCAGCAGCAGCAGCAGCTGCCCCAGCAGCAGCAGCAGCAGCTGCCCCAGCAGCAGCAGCAGCAGCAGCTGCCCCAGCAGCAGCAGCAGCAGCAGCTGCCCCAGCAGCAGCAGCAGCAGCAGCAGCTGCCCCAGCAGCAGCAGCAGCAGCTGCCCCAGCAGCAGCAGCAGCAGCTGCCCCAGCAGCAGCAGCAGCAGCTGCCCCAGCAGCAGCAGCAGCAGCTGCCCCAGCAGCAGCAGCAGCAGCAGCTGCCCCCAGCAGCAGCAGCAGCAGCTGCCCCAGCAGCAGCAGCAGCAGCAGCAGCTGCCCCAGCAGCAGCAGCAGCAGCAGCAGCTGCCCCAGCAGCAGCAGCAGCAGCAGCTGCCCCAGCAGCAGCAGCAGCAGCTGCCCCAGCAGCAGCAGCAGCAGCTGCCCCAGCAGCAGCAGCAGCAGCAGCTGCCCCAGCAGCAGCAGCAGCAGCAGCTGCCCCAGCAGCAGCAGCAGCAGCAGCTGCCCCAGCAGCAGCAGCAGCAGCAGCTGCCCCAGCAGCAGCAGCAGCAGCAGCAGCTGCCCCAGCAGCAGCAGCAGCAGCAGCTGCCCAGCAGCAGCAGCAGCAGCAGCAGCTGCCCCAGCAGCAGCAGCAGCAGCTGCCCCAGCAGCAGCAGCAGCAGCTGCCCCAGCAGCAGCAGCAGCAGCAGCTGCCCCAGCAGCAGCAGCAGCAGCAGCTGCCCCAGCAGCAGCAGCAGCAGCAGCTGCCCCAGCAGCAGCAGCAGCAGCAGCTGCCCCAGCAGCAGCAGCAGCAGCAGCAGCTGCCCCAGCAGCAGCAGCAGCAGCAGCAGCTGCCCCAGCAGCAGCAGCAGCAGCTGCCCCAGCAGCAGCAGCAGCAGCTGCCCCAGCAGCAGCAGCAGCAGCTGCCCCAGCAGCAGCAGCAGCAGCAGCAGCTGCCCCAGCAGCAGCAGCAGCAGCAGCAGCTGCCCCAGCAGCAGCAGCAGCAGCAGCAGCTGCCCCAGCAGCAGCAGCAGCAGCTGCCCCAGCAGCAGCAGCAGCTGCCGCATCCTTCACGAGTCCACTCAGCCCCCCCCCCCCTTTCCACACGCACCACGTGCTCACTCCCAACCAATTGCGTGCAAGCAGCGCATATATAAGGACCCCTCCCCCACCCCCCCTCTTCCGTCCCACACGGCAGAAGGCAACTGAGGACGCGGGATTTTTTTGTCGAGTTTCGGCAGCGGCTAAAACGTCGCTCCTCGCAATTGAAAATTAAAACCGATTCAGCCGCTTGCAATGCTCAAATCGGGCGTTAGGCTCGGTCTCTGGACGGCGAAGCGACCGGCCGTAGCAAAAATCTATCTTGCCCGGGACCCCGGGTCGGGCCTACGGTGCTACGCGCGGCTCCTGCGGGAAGAGGCGCACGTCGGCGGGCAGTGGGTTCCATCCGACGGCGGCGCCTCGTTCGAGGTGGACGACCCGGCCACGGGGCGACGCGTGGCGCGGGTGGCGGACTGCGGAGTCGTGGAGGCGACGCGGGCCGTGGAGGCGGCGCACACGGCGTTCCACACGTGGAAGAAAACCACGGCCAAGGTCGGGTGATGTTGTGTGTGTGTGGTGGTGGTGAGTGGTGTGTGTGGTATGCGCGCGCGCGCGCGTGCGTGATGAGTAGGGTAGGTGATGCGTTGTGCATGTTGATGGGTGTGGGACTGATATGTGTGTTTGTGTATTGAGGTTTGTATTCATGTGGTGAGCGCGCGATGGTTGCGTGGAGTGCGCAGGCGTGTGGTGTGCGTGAGTTCATGTGAGCTTCCCAGTTAATATGCAACGTTAACGCAACGTTGCATGTTTACTGGGTTGTGCGACGCTTGTGTGTGTGTACATGTACTTGTGAGTACTGTATTGTGGGGAGCGGTGGTGCAGTGGTTAGCGCTGCGCTGCGCTATGAACCCGGCGACCCGGGATCGAGTCCCGCTCCCGGCCAACACCAGAGACTATTTTCTGAACCGGTCCCGGGCCTCCCCTAGGTCGACTCGGCCTCAAATGAGTACCTGGTGCGATGTGTAAACATCGCCACTGGGGAGACAAAGGCGGTCGGGCGTGGTGCTGGCCACCCACCCCCTCGTGTACTGTTCCGGCCTTAATAGGTGCTCGCTAACAGCACTTGCCCCTACAGTCTGTTAAGGCTATACGGGGGAACTTTGTCTTTGTGAGTACTGTATGCATGTGTTTACATGTGTGCGACGTGATGATTAGGTGTAGGGGAGCATGCGTGTCAGGCGATAGGCATACACATTCCTGTGCACAATCGTTCAAATGGTTGATAAACATGTATGCACTCCATGTATACATGGAAGCAGGGAGAGAAGGCACAGTAGCATATGCAGTGCGTTGGAAGGACAACAAGCGGTACATGTGCTCCACATGCCTCTCGTACCAAGCGAAACCCGAGAGCGTTCTTGTTGGTTTGGTGTGCCAGTGGTCTGCTCGCCTGGTTAGCGTTTCAGTTTGGGTTCAGAGTTTTGTTTTGAGCAAAGGTTAAGTACATGTGCATGTTCAATTAAACACATTCTTGCGGAGGGAGCTGGTAGGAACGTTGGGTTGCTCGGTCGATGGCCAGGGTCAAGGGCGGCACCACGTGGTGCATTCCGTAAATATGCCCGACTGTGAGGGCGGGCACAAGCCGGCGTGAGTAGGTTAAACGTTGAGTTTTATAAGGGCACCACGGGGTGACCAGCCCCTCCCTACCCAGCCCCACTCCTCCCACTCCCCACCCAGCCCCTCCCCTCCCCACCCAGCCCCACCCCACCCTCCCCTCTCCACCCAGCTCCACCCCTCCCATTTTTTGGATGCACGACGGACGGACGGACACAATAATCCCCTGTGGGCTGGTGTAATCAGGAGGTTCCTGCCAGTAAAATGTACGTGTATGGTAGATGATCTTGCCCCATGAACCCGGCGACCAGAATTAAATTCCTGACGATGGTCAACACCAGGGACGATTATCTGAATCGGTCCTAGGCACCCCCGAGATCAGCGGTGGAGGAACCTTTTTTCTGCCAAGGGCCATTTGGATATTTATAACATCATTCGCGGCCCATACAAAATGATAAACTTAAAAATTAGCCTGTTATATTTGGTCAAACATTTCATTCACTCGCCCCTAATGTGATGGCTGGAATTGCTTCTCTTTGGCGAGGCGTGTGATGATGTTAGCTGGTATTGATGATGTTGCTACGCGCAACTGCTTTTCCAGGTTTGCTCCTAGATTTATTGAATTTCGAGTCCCGCCTGCGGTTGCCTTCGCGGACCTTATACGGCCCGCGGACCAGACGATCCCCACCCCTGCCCTAGATCAATGCATGCTCAAATGAGTACCTGGTGCGACGTGTAAAACATTGCTACTAGGTGTGGTATTTTCCACCCACCTCGTGTGCCTTGCTGGACTTCATATGTGCGGTGTGAAAGAAGTTCAACATACATAGGGTGCTCGTTAATAGCCCTTGCCCCAACAGTCTTCGAAGGCTATACGGGGGATCTTTGTTCGTAGCCTCATGGGCATGTCATAAACAAGCCTTTCCTCCCACGCTATGAGTCCATGATTATAAAACATCTTTTCCCCAAATTATATCCCGATTGTTTTTATGGGCGTCACGTTACGAGTTGTAGAACCCACGTGCGGAAATCTCAGAGAGGTGCAACACCTTCATTGTTAGAGAACGGACCACGGAAGTAGATTTCATAGACCTACGTCTCAGATCCCTTTAAGTTGACCTCTGGTTTCTAGGGAAGGGGGGGGGGGGCATCACTTTCCCAACCATTCTGCTGCCAAGAGTAATGTTCGTCGAATGACCGTCTCTTGTGGGTGGTGTCGCCCTTCCTGCGTTAGGCAATGATGCTCTGGTTAATTTTATAACTTCTCTGCATGGTCAGCCTGGGTTTTATGTGTTGCCAGCTCAGCAGGTTTTCTCCCCCATAGCTAGCTTGCGCTGTTAATTCTTAACCCAGTATTTATCTCCAATTCCACGGGCCGGCCACCCGATGTGGTGCCGAATGTGGGAGAAATGTTTGCGTGCCAAACGAATGACGCATCCATCCGTAAGCTCTCTGACGCAGCCATTATGGACCGACCCCATCAGGGGGAGCAACACAGACCCAGACCCAGAAAGATTTAGCCCCAGTGCAGCTAGCTCAGCGTTTCTGACACAGCCATGGAGAGTGTGGCCTTGTGTGATGAGGAAACTGAAGTTACTAGGGAAAATCAACCAATAATACATGGGGCAAAACTCAAAGCTCTACACAGATGGAAACAAAAATCCATTCCTGTATTGCTGTCCTGACCACATCACAGGCAAAATATACTATCTTGTAGTCCTCATCCAAGTACTCTACTAACCAGGCTAAACCCTGCTTGGCGTCTGAGCTCCAGCTAGATCTAGTGCATTCCGGAAGAATTTGGTTGTAAGAAAATCATCATCATCATCCCTGGGTAATCTACTGCTGAATGAAGGCCTTACCAAGCCTCCATCACCTCTCATGATCCTGTGATGTAACAATCCAGCTGGCATCACGTGTATGCAAATATATTGCTTTGACTAACATTCATTTTGCCTTGTTAGCTATGCCGGTGCACTCCATTCAAGTGCTAATGTTGTGGGTGGCATGAGTGTTTTTTGTGGCTGCGTGCACAGATTTGTAATTGGCAAATGCTGGAAGCTGGGTTTGTGAGGTTGTGTTTTAAAGTGTGGAGTCTGTTCCAAAGTGGAGACGTTCGCTGTCACGTGATTGGTTAATTGCAAATCATTGTCGTCATTCGTCCTGATCTATTCACTACTAAATGAAAGCCTCCACAACACTAATGCCATGTCTCACTGCCCTGCGACTCCACGATGGCATCGTTCCATCTCTGCAGCGGTTGGCTTCTCCATCTCGGCGTGTTCCCTCCTCGGTAGTGAATGGGGTCAGCTGCAGACTCCTGTCACACATTGCCCCCCCTGACCGGACTCAATGGTGGACTCTGGGCCCTCCCTCCACGCTGTTGCTGATGAAGCTTCTGTCGCCTGGCACTGCAAGATGAGCCTACAATAATAATTATTATTGTAGTGCTCAAACAAATCACATATTTGACAACGCATGTAACACGCACAGTGCAGAACAGCAGCAGCAGCAAGCCCCCATTTGCCACGGAGTGGCGGTGATGACCACACGGTGCTTGTACAAAGCCATGTGCACTTTGAGGACTTGACACACCTTTGGTACCAGTCTTTGGCAAGTCAACTTGGCGCCACATCCTCCCGAACAGCATCAGGACCATCTCTTCTGCATGGTGGCCACGCAGAGCCCACACCCTGTGCCCACACACGTGTAACACATGCTATCATTGTCACCCCGTCCCGCACACAGGAGCGAGGGGCTCTGCTCAAGAGATGGTACGAGGTCATCCTGCAGAACCGCCAAGAGCTGGCCCAGCTCATCACAGCTGAGAGCGTGAGTCGGGGTCCTCCTCATGTCTCCTCTCTCACCTCCCCGTGACTCCCTGGGGCTCCCCGTGTCTCCTCTCCATCTCCCCGTGCCTCTCCGCATCTCCTCTCACCTCCCTGTGCCTGCGCGTGCGTCAGGGCAAGCCACAGCAGGAGTCTCTGGGGGAGGTGTCGTATGGCGCGGCATTCCTCGAGTGGTTCGGCGAGGAGGCGCGACGCGCATACGGACAGATCATCCCCTCGGCTGCGCCCGACCGCCGCATGTTCTCCATGTACCAGCCCGTCGGTGTCGCCGCCATGATCACTCCAGTGAGCCCGCGTTGCAGACCGCCACCACGGGCCGCTAGCCAGGGATTTTTATTCTCACAGCTAGCCACAGGCTGCTACACCTCACAGCTAGCCTGGGCTACTACTCCTCACAGCCAGCCTGGGCCTCTAGCTCTCACAGCTAGCCTGTGCTGCTATGCCTCACAGTTAGCCTGGGCTGCTACTCCTCACAGCTAGCCTGGGCTGCTATGCCTAACAGCCAGCCTGGGCTGCTATGCCTCACAGCTAGCCTTGGCTGCTATTCCTCACAGACAACCTGGGCTGCTATGCCTCATAGCTAGCCTGGGCTGCTACGCCTCACAGCTAGTCTGGGCTGCTACTCCTCACAGCCAGCCTGGGCTGCTATTCCTCACAGATAGCCTTGGCTGCTATGCCTCACAGCTAGCCTGGGCTGCTACTCCTCACAGCCAGCCTGGGCTGCTACTCCTCACAGCTAGCCTGGGCTGCTATGCCTCACAGCCAGCCCGGGCCTCTAGCTCTCACAGCTAGCCTGGGCTGCATGCCTCACAGCCAGCCTGGGCTGCTATGCCTCACAGCTAGCCTGGGCTGCTATGCCTCACAGCTAGCCTGGGCTGCTATGCCTCACAGCTAGCCTGGGCTGCTATGCCTCACAGCTAGCCTGGGCTGCTATGCCTCACAGCTAGCCTCGGCTGCTATGCCTCACAGCTAGCCTGGGCTGCTATGCCTCACAGCTAGCCTGGGCTGCTATGCCTCACAGCTAGCCTGGGCTGCTATGCCTCACAGCTAGCCTGGGCTGCTACGCGTCACAGACAGCCTGGGCTGCTACTCCTCACAGCTAGCCTGGGCTGCTACTTCTCACAGCCAGCCTGGGCTGCTACTCCTCACAGCTAGCCTGGGCTGCTACGCGTCACAGACAGCCTGGGCTGCTACGCCTCACAGCTAGCCTGGGCTGCTACTCCTCACAGCTAGCGCGGTTTGCTAGTCCTCATAGCTCGCCCTGGCCTCTAGCTCTCACAGCTGGCCTGGGCTGCTATGACTCATCACCTAGCACAGGCTGCTAACCCAAGTGATAAAATAGCTTAGCAGACAATACATCTCCTTGACGGCGCTGCCTCTCTACATCAAAAAGAGTATTTTTACTCAACCCAGAGGCCCTGGGGCCTACTCGTACACTGCACCGGGTATAGGGGTGGTGTACAAGTACATCGGCGCTGGGGAGTCAAATGGCCTGGAAAACCACCCCCTCATGTGCCATTCCGGCCTTCATGCTCGCCAGCAGCACTCTCCCCAACAGTCTGTTACGGTTGGTGGTGGGGGGCGATCTTTGTTTGCGAGTACATGTGAATGGGTGTGTGGGGACGTTTTTTGGAGGGAGTCATCCTCCAATAACAACGGAGGGCATAGGAGTGATGCTCGCAACGAGCCGAGCGCCGGGAGGCTACAGTGCATAAAGTTGGCACAGTAGGGAGCATAGGTGGTGCATCTGCCAGTCATCTCAGTCGGTCAACGCATGGCACCTGGGTCTGTCTCGTGACCTCATGTCAGCGAGCCTTCGACACTTCACGTGGCTCCCGAGTGCACCTAGCATGGCGCAAGCGCCGTGGGGACGTCACCGCCACTTAGTGAGTTGCATGAGTGTTTAATTATGCATGTGTGTAGTAATTTTTTCATGCGAGTGTACATGTGTGTGTGCAGGTAGGTTTGTGCGTAACCATGTTATTCGCATCGTGGAAGGAATGCACTGTATATCCCTGCTGCTATATAGATGCTGCCCGCCTTCATCCCAGCACTGACCAGCGCTGGGATGGTGGTGAATTGGCCTGTGCTTGACACGGCAGCCTTCTGGGGTAAACACCGAGTGAGATTGCGCAATAGCGCTCAGCATTATTGTGTGCATCTGGTGTGCATCGTTTCATGTGTCTGCATGCGTGTTCACGTGTGTCTGCCCCCCGTGTGTCTGCGTGTGTTAAATTCCTGCTCGCGGGCCAACACCAGTGATGATTTTCTGAATCGGTCCTGGGCCTTCCCGAGGTCGACTCGGCCTCAAATGAGTACCTGGTACGGCGTGTAAACATCACCACTAGGCAGACGAAGCCGATCAGGCGTGGTGCTGGCCACCCACCCTTATGTACCGTTCCAGCCTTCATAGGCATTGGCTAAAAGCACTTGTCCCAAAAGTCTGTTCAGGGCTATATAGGGGATCTTTGTCTTTGTTCGCGTGTCTTCGTGTGTGTGCACGAGTGTGCCTGCGCCTATCTTTGTGTCTCTTTGCCTGCGCGTGGGTTCGTTTCTGCTTGTTCATCTGTGTGTGCATGCCTGCGCGCGTGTATCTGCATGTGCGTGTTCGCCTCGATCTTTGTGCGCGTGTCTGCTTGTGCCCTTGCGTCCGTGCAGTGGAACTTTCCCGTGGCGATGATCACACGGAAGGTGGGAGCTGCGCTCGCCGCGGGCTGCACGGCCGTGGTGAAGCCAGCGGAGGACACGCCGCTCAGCGCCCTCGCGCTCGCACAGGTGCCGCGCGTCCACCCCTGACCCGCCGCGTCCTTTCCGAACCGTTTTGTGACGCGCCGCGAGATGAGTTGACGAAAAGGAAATGCACGGGGACGCACGCGGGAGAATAATTTTGAGAGAAGAGGCGGAAGTGACGACGCCGATGTGTCTGGCGCGATGAGAGATGAGGCAGTTGAGCTCCCGACGACCGGAGCAATGACGGGGGTTCTCTGTGTGAGTCTGCATCACTGTGTGATTCTGGGTTTCTGTTGGAGGAGGCGGGGGAGGGGGATCGATCCAGCGCGTTTGAGCGCTTTGTAATGGAGATTCCGAATCTTTATACTGGAGGAATCTAATGAGCTATGAAGCTCTTTTTCACAAATGTCCAGTCAGGATGGGTCAAGAAAATCAGGTCAGCCTGCGTCTAAGAGCGTTGTCCACATCATGGTATATATGGAATAAATCAGGGCAGGCCATTTGAAGCCACAGGCCGCGACATCCACATTATCAATATTCCTGCAACCCGCACTGACCGGAGTAGTGATGGCTTAAGACAGCCGTCATGATTTCCGTGAAGGCATTGGGAGTCCTTCGTCCGGCAGTGGATTGAGAACGGCTCGAGCGGAGTGGTGAGTGCACCACACTATGAACCTAGCGACCGAGTTCGAGTCACTCTCGCAGCCAACGTCGGCGACGAATACCTCAACCAGTCCTGGGCTTCCCCGAGGTCGACTCGGCCTTAAATGAGAGACAAAGGTGGCCGGGCGTGATGCTGGCTACATCACCGCCTCGTGCATCGTGGCAGCCATCACAATTAACAGCACTTGCCTAAACCGCCAGTGTGGGCTCCACGGGAGATCTTTATATATTTGTACATATATATGTGTGCGTGTGTGTGTGTCATTTGGCACAGTAGGGGGCACAGGTGGTGCATCTGCCAGTCATATCAGTCAGCCCATGGCACCTGGGTCTGTCGCGTGACCTCTTACCAGCAGCGAGCCTTCGACACTTCGCGTGACCTCGGTGCACCTGGCCTGGCACAGGCCGCTTAGCGGCGAATGGCGGGTGGTGTTGTTGTTGTCGTGCCGTCAGTCGACCCATGGCACCTGCGTCTTATCCCGTGACCTCCCACCGGCAGCGAGCCTTGCCCACCTCCGCATGACGCCTCTCAAAGTGTGCGCCTGTGGCACAAGCAAGCGTAGCGACGTCACTGCCACTCGGTGGCGGATGTCTGGCTGTTGTTTATTTGCTTGTTGTTTGCTGCGGCTGCGTGTTTGGGTCACCCAGCTAGCCGTGGAGGCCGGGTTGCCCCCGGGCGTGCTCAACGTGGTGCCTTGCTCGCGGGCCAACGTGGCGGCCTTGGGCGAGCTCCTGTGCACCCACCCCTCCGTCTCCAAGATCTCCTTCACGGGCTCCACCGCCACCGGCAAGGTGCCACCGCCACGACCGCCACCGCGTGCAATGCGGCGCGCGCCCATCGCACGCACGGCGCTCGCCACGAACTAACCACGATACGCCACGCTCTCTGCGTTTAGTTTGCTTGGCACTTTGGGCTACGCACGGTTTCGAAAGAAGTTCAACGTGCGTACGAACAGTCGGGTGTTCCGTCGACGAGCGTCGTCGTTGTAGCCTGCGTCGTGAACGCATCGTGCGGGCGGTTGGGCAGGCCTCGTGCTGTGTTACGCTGTCTCGCGCGTCGCACCCAGAGCGTCGCGCCATCCGTCGTACCCGCGCCAGGTGCTGATGGCGCATGCCGTGGGCACGGTGAAGCGCGTGTCCATGGAGCTGGGCGGACACGCACCGTTCATCGTCTTTGAGAGCGCCGATCTGGACGCAGCCGTGCGCGGCCTCCTCTCCTCCAAGTTCCGCTTCTCCGGACAGGTGGGGTGGGGCCACCGGGGGGGGGGGGGGGGAGATGCAGGGGGTAGTGGCGGGGGGGGGGATACGAGGAAGGGGATAAAGGGAGACGGTTCACACTCACTCGCTCGCTCACCTACCCACTCTCATAACCCTACTCTCATACATTCGCTCAAAAATCATGCACCCACTCGCTCACACTCCCGCTCTCTCGCCCACTTGTTCATTCACTCGCCCCCCCCCCCACACTCACTCCCTTGATCACTTGTTAATTCGTACACATCTTCGCACGTTCACGCTGTAATCCGTGTGCGTGCCCATTTTTGTGCGTGCGTGCAGACGTGCGTGTGCCCTAATCGCATGCTGGTGCAGGAGAGCGTGCACGACGCGTTTGTGTCGCGCCTCGCCCATGCTGTGTCGACGCAGCTCCGCGTGGGGCCCGGCGCGGACACGGGGAACACGCTGGGGCCACTCATCAACGAGCACGCCCTCGAGAAGGTGGTGCCTCCTTCGTCCCCACCCGCCCACGAGCGTGTGTCTTTGTCTTTGTGTTTGTGAGTGTGTGGGGAGCCCAGCGACCCGAGTTTGATTCCCACGCATGGCCACCAGCACCGGTGACGATTATCTGAACCAGGCCTGGGCCTCTCCTTTGGTCGACTCGGCCTCAAATGAGTACCTGGTGCGATGCGTAAAGATCGCCACTCGGAAAAACAAAGGCGGCTGGGCGTGGTGGTGGGCACCCGCCCCCCTCGTTTGCCGTACCGGCCTTCATAGGTGCTCGACCTGTGTGTGTGCGTGTTCTAGCCTGTGTGTGTGTACGCATAGGTGCTCGCTAACAGCACTTGCCCCTACAGTCTGTTACAGGCTATATGGGGGATCTTTGTTTTGTGTGTACGCAACCTGTGTGTGTGTTCGCAACCTGTGTGTGTGTGTACGCAACCTGTGTGTGTGTACGCAACCTGTGTGTGTGTACGCAACCTGTGTGTGTGTGTGTACGCAACCTGTGTGTGTGTGTGTGTGTACGCAACCTGTGTGTGTGTGTACGCAGCCTGTGTGTGTGTGTACGCAACCTGTGTGTGTGTGTACGCAACCTGTGTGTGTGTGTACGCAGCCTGTGTGTGTGTGTGCGCAACCTGTGTGTGTGTGTACGCAACCTGTGTGTGTGTGTTCTAGCCTGTGTGTGTGCGTGTTCTAGCCTGTGTGTGTGCGTGTGCACGCGACATGTGTGTGCGTGTTCTAGCCTGTGTGTGTGTACGCAACCTGTGTGTGTGTGTGTGTGTGCGCCGCAGGTGGAGCGGCATGTGGTGGATGCTGTGTCGCAGGGCGCGCGTGTCGTCGTGGGCGGTGCGCGCCACGCGCTCGGGGGAAGCTTCTTCCAGCCGACGGTGCTCGCCGACGTTACTCCCAACATGCTGTGCGCTCGCGAGGAGACCTTCGGGCCCCTGGCTCCCATCATCAAGTAAAGCCGCCCCCCCCTCCACTTGACCTCGCCCTTGATCTCAACCCCTGATAATGAACAGATACCTCCGAATGAAACCTTCACTCTGACCTTAACTCCCAAGTATTATTATACCTAATTGATGCGTGGTTCAGGTGGCGATTTTTGTGTATATATGTGTGTAAATACGACTTCGACGCACTTGTCTTGAGATGGTTTCTTTATTAAGGAGCCACGTGCTCGCACTCGGGCATGCGGAGACCCTCCACTGCAACAGCCTCAAGCCTCACGTGCATCTCCCTTATATACGGTCCGAGGCCACGCCCCCATTCCCGAACCTTCTCGCTGGTTCCAGACCGCTCGCTCTACCAGCAGACTACTGTCCTCTTCCGTCCTCTGGCCACGCTCCTGTTCTCGGTCATTCCCGTAGCCACCAGTCCGCTCGCACTGCAAGCCGACTCCCCGCTCATTACCGCCCGTGGCCACTAGTCTACTCACACCGAAGGTTGACTCTTCTGTCATTACATATGTATGTATGTATGTTGAACATCTTTCGCACCATACACAGCCAACCGTGCTAATCAGAGGTGATGACCCAGGTCACTCTTGCTCTGCCGGCACAGGACGACTAAGTGCTCGGCGGCTCTCGGGCCTGGCCACTATGAACCTCGACGTTTGTGTCGTTGCCAGGTTCAAGACTGAAGAGGAGGCGATTGCTCTTGCAAATTCCACAGCCATGGGGCTGGCTGGTGAGGAAAGGACACGCATGCATGTACAGACACACGCACAAAGATCCCCCGTGTAGTATCCGACAGGCTGTTGGGCCAAGTGCTGTTAACAAGCAGCGATGAAGACCAACGCTGCACACGAGTGGGAGGTGTGGCTAGAAGCACGCCCGCCACCTTTTACGCCCCAGCGCTGAAGTTTACGCATTGCACCAAGTACTCATTGAAGGCGACCTAAGGTAGGCCTAGGATCGGTTAAGATATTCAACATTGAAGTTAACCAGAAGCAGGAATCATTTGGGTCACCGGGTTCGTAGCGCAGCGCGCTAACTACTGCGCCACCATTCTCCATGAGCACACAACAGCACCAACAATAACAGTCGCCATTGACCACCGAGTGGCGATGATGTCACCGCTGCGCTTGTGCCGTGCTAGATGCACCTTGAGGCTATAATTTGAAGTGTGGAAGCCTCCGCTTCTTGCAGGAAGATATGGGACAGACCCAGGTACTAATTGGTTGGCTGACGTAGTGTGATCTGTAAATATCAGCACTGGGGAGACAAAGGCAGCCGGGCGTTGTGTTAGCCACCCACGCAATCATGAGGCATGCCAGTTGCTGGCATAGGTGCTACTCGCTAACACCACTTCCTCCTCCAACAGTCTGTTAACACGATACGGGGGGGGTCTTTGTCTTTGTAACCCCCCCCCCCCCCCCCCCACGTCGGCAGGCTACTTCTTCTCGCGGGACGTGGCGCAGGTGTGGCGCGTGAGCGAGGCCCTCGAAGTGGGCATGGTGGGCGCCAATGAGGGCCTCCTGTCAGCCGTCGAGGCCCCGTTTGGCGGCATCAAGCAGTCGGGCCTGGGCCGCGAGGGTGCCCAGCAGGGCATGCTGGAGTACATGCACGTCAAGTACGTGTGCCTCGGCGGCCTGGGCGGGCGCCTCTAGAGAGAGAGAGGGGGTAGGGGACAGGGTGGAGGAGAGGGCGAGAGGGCGAGAGGAAGGAGGAGGGGAAAGAGCGGTGGAAGCAAGGGTGCCACGGTGGTGCGTTGTTAACTCCCTCGCCTGGTATGCAGGAGGACGCGAGTTTGATGTTGACCCCGATGATGCCTGTATATTTATAGTTTGCGGTGTCTCTCCCTCTCCCCGTGGCCGCATGGATTTTGCTCTGGGTCTATCCGTTTTTTTCCCCCTCCACATTTAGAATTAATGTGCATTTAGAGTATTCGGTTCCTATACATTTCCACGCGATAAGCCACTTGGTTGAACGATCATTTGTTACCAGGCTGCTTCTGACAAACTGCAGTGCGCCTTACCTGGTGGTTGTGGTTCTGGCCACACCTCCCCGTTGTTCACAGTATTGGGAGAGAGAAGGGGAGGAGGAGGAGAAGCCGAGAGAGAAGAGAGATTGAGTCGGTTGATCAAACTTTACGTATTTAACATTGCACCCTTCTCAATGAAATTGTCACAGATCGATTCACATCTAATTTAACAACATTACATCGATACAATTTTAGTTATGCAAAACAATAAGTAGTACACATATTAGTTCAAAATATAAAAGAGATTATAAATACGTCTTTAGCCCGATTTTAAAAACTGCAACGCATTCCTGATCCAGATTCATGGTGCACTCCACGTGAACAGAATTCCGACCAGCATGCTGCAATATTGAACACCTTACACGCTGCATCATGAACAACCCTACACACTGCACCTTAAACGCCCTACACGCAGAGACTCGTGACCACAAAACTGGACTTGGACTACGAACCCATAAACCTCAATTAACAACCCAATAAGCTCACTGCCAACCAAAAAACCCAGACTCGGAACTTAACGAACCCGGACTAGGAACTCAACGATCCCGGACTAGGAACTCGACAAACCCGGACTAGAAACTCGACAAACCCGGACTAGGAACTCGACAAACCCGGACTAGAAACTCGCAAACCCAGACTAGGACCTCGCTGAATCCAGATTAACGAACCTGGACTATGTGCCCACTCCCAAACGCGGAAGCAGGGCCCACAAACCGACGACGAAGGAGTTGCGTCCCACCGAATAGATGGGTCTTCGGCAACCTTTTAAATCTGCATAAACTACCAGCCTCTCTGATGTCAATTGGGAGGCCATTCCGCAACCTGGGAGCCGAACAATGGAATGAGCCCTCCCGAAAGTAACCCCTAAACCGAGGAACTGCAAAGAGGATCTGTGTCCCGGATCTGAGACTTGCGGTCTTAACACATCGGTCCAAGAGTTCAGAGCTAAACCAGACGTACCCAACCGCGCTCAATCGGAGGTGCGCCTGTCACGTCACCAAGGCCCAAGGCCACTTCACACAGAGTTGACGTGAAACGAAACGTTTTGCGCAAACAGACTTAAAAACGCTTAGAAAATCAACGGACGTACGGAGAGAGACGGGAAGTGTACATAAAGTACCTGTAATCATCGCGCAATGGCGGGATTGAATCGAAAGGATACGTTGTTATTATTATACTGGTAGGAACGAAGTTGTAAACTGAGTGTACCAGCCTGCAATAGATTAATGTGTCCGTCCGTCCGTCCGTCCCCTTTCAATACTTTAACGAAGTGAAATCTCGTGCTGTTGGGGTGTAAAAATTGAATTGCGCAAAATTCCGACGTTCCTACCAGCCCACCCTGCAGTGACCTGTTAATATAGAAATGGGCCTCAAGCCTTCAACGTCAAAATAGCCAATGTGGGCGAAGTGCTGCTGTGACGCGATTGGGCAGGAGAGGCTTCCGCGGCCGTAGAGCGCCGACACAAAAAGGCCCAACCTCTCCTTTTCTTTTTATTTTATATATATTTTTTTTATATTCCAAAATCCGCAACAACACACAAACATTCAACACGACTTCATTTGGCCACTTGGTCGATAATCATTCCGGACTACTTGGCACCGCCTCGTGGCGGGTGGCGGCCGCCCCTTCCAAGCGCGACCCCGGCTCAGATCTGACGAGATCGGGGGACTTGGTGGGGGGGGGGGCAGCGCATTCTGAGCGGCTCGTCGGGCATCGGCCGGGCAAGGCACGGCCGAGCGAAGCGGCGCTTTAACGGGGGCGCCGCGTTTTTTTTTTTTACAAAATGATCACAATTGCCGTGCACAGCTGGTGAATCTTTCGCACTTGTGCCAATGCGAGTGATTTACGATGATTGTAGGATTATTTTTTTGGAGAATTCGGCCACTTGATGATCTGGCCAAATCTGTGTCGTCAAGACCCTTCGCTCGGCCCTGACGGCGGCTCCTTGGCTGGCATCTTCTCTGTCCTTCTCTGTTCTCTGCCGCCCTCTTCATTTCCACAAATGGATCCCTTCCTTCGGCTCATCCACAATCCCAATCTCTCCGGCAGTGTGCGACACTGGTCATCCAGACCAGAACGCACAACGAATAACAACGCAACGCCCGGTCCACAAATATGAAGGAGACGTCGCAGCGATACACTCCGCTAACGCCTGGCGCGGTATGTCTGGCGTGACCACCTGAAGGTGATTTTGTAGTTGTTGCTCTGCATCTACATCTGCCATATGAACCTCGTGGCGGGACCCCGGAGTCCCCTAAGCCCCCTGCTCTCGCATCAACTGCGTTGCGACGTCATTTTATGTCTGTTGAAGGCGAACGATGCGGCAATCTGTTTCTCTCGACGAGCTCTACACGATGTGCTAATCAAAATTTCAAAGTTTTGTTTCTTCTGCGCATTCGTCCCCGCCTGCCCCGCTTGGACGGTACGACAACAGAATTGTCTGTACCAGGTGGGTCGCGGCGTTGATGTGTGCGGTGGGACGGAGTCGCCAAAAAGAAACTAATTACGATTTTGACTTTTGTTTATTCGGGACCCCGGGATCCCACCATAGGGCCCATATGAAAGAAGAAGATATTTAGCATTTCCATCTTGGAATTTTCCCATCAAAAACCAGGCGCAGCTGAACATTGTCACATGGTGTACGAGCATTGCAACGTGCCAAATATCGCTTGAGCTCACTCACCGCCGGCACATTGGGGAATAATCTTCACAACCACACGAAGCAATGACGACGTGGTTGAGGATACGATGTTTCACTTGAAAATTGCTCCGAAACATCTTCAGGACAACCCACGAAGTTGGAATGACCCGCTAAACCCTCGTACGCGTGAAAATTGATATTTTGTTTGACTGTCGGGTGGTGGAGGGTCTTGACGACACATGTTTGGCCGGATCGTAGCGAGGTGCCCTAACACAGAAAATAACTGTGAATCTAACATTGTGTTCTTAAACCAACGTGTTGAGTAATTAATGATATGTTTTAAGTGATGAATTAATTGGTGTAATTGTATATTATTTTTTTACCTGCATGGCTTTGTGAATGTGTTCTGTACTCGGTGTGAGATGAACCCCTCCCACCCAGGGCTGGATTTAGGATTTAGTTGGGAGGTCGGGTGGAGGGGGTAATGAGCCAACACAGCATATTTGTCCAGACACCAAAAACTTAAACCGTTTTAAGTGTTTTTTTATATAAAGAAAAGTAAGGACTGTATTTGTATTATTTAAATTTTCACTACTTTTTTATTGTTTGTTAACTGCCCAACCTCTGCTTTCGTTCCGCTCACCCATAACCCTCCTCGGCGACGCGTAATGAGTTTGTGTACCGTATTGCCTTTTTGCGTTGAACAGAGCACCCCCTTCACCCGTGATTTATGACGGAGTTCCCTTGCCAATAACATCTGGCGGCAGCCCAGCAGCATTTGTTTAAACAAGTGAACCTGCCTGCCTACTGATGAAACCAAGAAGGACGAATCCGGTTCAGATGTTTTGCCTTTGCTTAATCAAATGCTGCTTAAGATGATGCTGGTCTGAAGAGCCAGTAGGCCAGCCCATGAATGGAAACACACGTGTTTTATTCGTGTGTTCGGACAGAACCGAGTAGTGCTTTGAAGAAGGGCCATTGCTCGAAACGTCTCCTATCTATATATTTTCTTCTTCTAAGATAATGCAGTGTTTAATGGCAAGTGGTGTGATTTTTGTTAATTGTGCATGTGCACCACCGCCAACGCAGCATCAGCAGCACCAGACCGTGCTCCCGCCCATATCGCTGTACGGTGAGAAGTAACGAGTTCGCGTCAGGTGTCTCTTATCCGTTTTAATTGCATTCTCCAATCTCCCCCGCATCTGACTAAGACCAACATGCCCGTATGGACCGCGTGTGTCCGCTGTGCACGTGCGGTGGTTGGCGCGCTGCGTGACAAACCCGCGGACCCAAGTTAGATTCTCGCTTGCAGACAAATATCGGTCCAGAATATCTGAACCGGTGTTGGGCCTCTCCTAGGTCGGCTCGGGCGTAAGTTGTTACCTGGTGCGCCGTGTACAACATCAGCACTGCGGAGACTTAAGGGCGTGGTGTTGGCCACCAACCCCCTTGTGTGCTGTCCCGGACTTCATAGGGTGCCAGCTTAGCAGCACTCGCCCCAACAATCTGTTATGGGGCCGTCCATAAATGACGTCACGCACCTAGGCTGGAGGGGGAGGGGGGGGTTTGAGAAATGTGACGTCACGTCAAAGTTCGCAACTTGATAAATATAGGCAACGCGTTCTATTTAAATTTCGATTTGAAGCTTTCGTGACTGCAGGGATTCATCTTCTTGGTTCTTTCGGTAAAATAATAAAAATTAAAACATGTCTTAGATGTGTTTTATTATTTCCCTTCTACGTGACTTTACCGATAGAACCAAGAAGACGTTCTATTTAATTAAATAGACTTTTTAATAAATGTTTTCTCCAACAACATCAGAGTGCAGCGCCACATTAAATACGCAGCACAATAGTTTAAAGCGATTTGAAGCGTGTATTTTTGCGGGGGGGGGGGGGAGGGGGGTTATATTTGGGGGGGGGTCTGACTTGTGACGAAGGGGGGGGTCAAAAAATCGTACAAAATCACATGACGTCATTTATGGACGGCCCATGAAGACTGTACGGGGGGGGGGGGGGGGGGTGGGTGGAAGTCGGGGTGTTGCTGGAAAGAGTGATAAAGGGAATGGATCCTTCCGCCTCTGGTTTCCCTTGGGAGCAAGGTTCCTAAATCCGTCCCTGGAACCTCGTCGTTGGTATTGGGGTTCCTTTTGTTCTCATTGCTGACCATTGTTTTATACAAATGAAATAGGAAATAATGGGACATTTACAAATTTTGAAATAAAAGATTATTGAAATATTTATGGTGAACTGGTTGAGTTCGTGGGAGGGGGTGAGGGTTTATATTGGCTGTCGGTGACCCACGGATGGAATCTGGGTTTCAAGCGCCCATAAATTACAAGTGCTCTCCAGTGTGAGTTGATGGTCCCAACTTGCTCTTCAAAGGAATGCACAAAACAAGCCATCAAACTTTTCTCGTGACTTAATTATCATCATCAGTCATGATCAATCCACTGCTGGATGAAGCCCCCCCCCCCTAAACCATTACCATTTCAGGTGATCCTGCCATCAAATGATCATTTGCTCTCTTCAAGAAAGAGTGAATTCTGCGCAGAACGTTACTATTTCTATTTTACCAGGTAAGGCCCACGAAGCTGTATAGCGCTTCTTTAGAATCGTCCTGGCCACAAATAATAGCTCAACAAAGTGGCTGTGGAAGTTTCTGGCAGCCAAATACTCAAAAACAAGTTAAACACACACTTTTAATATTTTAGTCGTGGCTTCATTCTAATTATTTCCAAGTCTAGGAATTAAATATTTTTTGTTTTGCCCCATTTTTTGCCGTACAGTGTCGGTGTCAATTTGGATCAAAACATTTAAGGTAGCTGCCGCAAATTGTTTGTGGAACCAACTAGTTTTTTCATTTTGATTTAAAGCTTTCGTGACTGCAGTAATTCATATTCTGAGTTTTTTCGGTAAAGTCACGTTGAAGAGAAACAACAAAATAATAAAATATATATACCAATAAATAAAAAGAGGTACGTGGATGACACTTTTGTCATCTGGCCACATGGCCGGCCTGCTCTAGACCAATTCTTCGACCACATCAATTCCATACACCCAGCCATCAGATTTACCATGAAAGTCGAAATAGATGGCAAGATACCTTTTTTGGATGTCCTAATTAAAAAGAGACCTGATGGTTCAATGAGCCACTCTGTCTACAGGAAAGCTACCCATACGGATGCTTATCTGAAACCGGATTCCCACCACCATCCATCACAGAAGAATTCTCTCATCAAGACTCTGTATCATAGAGCCCAATGCATATCCGACCAGGAACACATAAGCAGTGAACTCAAGCAGGTACACCAAGCTTTTAGGGCTAATGGTTACTCCGACTATACAATCCGCAAAGCTATCACTCAAACCATGAAGAAGAACCCTCTTGAGGAGCCTTTCAAAACCATCACTTTACCCTACATTGCTGGGATCACAAAAAAGATCTCCAAAATCTTGAATAAACACAAGATCCAGGTCCGTTTCAACACATTACATAAAATCCGTGATCTGGTTCCGTCTGTAAAAGATGTGATTCCGGACATACAATACCCTGGTGTCTACAAACTAAGTTGCCTCTGTGGTAGTAGTTACATTGGAGAAACCAAACGCCATGTCTCGGACCGCATTCGTGAACACAAAGCAGACCTTAAACACGGTAGGACCAACACCTCGGCCGTAGCAGATCATTGTTCTAATTCAGTAGGCTCACATGCCATTGACTTTTCCAAGACAGAGGTTCTTTGTAAGCCATCTGGCTTCCATGAGAGATTCGTTCATGAGGCTATCCACATATACAAGCACAGAGACAATTTCAACCGAGAAGATAGATTCTATCTTAGCAATCATTGGAAAGATTTGATAAACCATTTCGGTTCTTAATTGATTGTTCACGCTTACATTGGCTTTCAGACAGCATACATTATAAAAAATTTCGTCTCCCCCCTCCTCTTTTCAAAATATAGATGGACTAGTCCTGGGTAAACTGCCAAATCGCTGCGCGTGACGCTAACGTTTTTTTATAAAAAAATAAATGCGCCGTTTAAAAATAAATTTATGCAAACCAACACACCTGAAGATGACCGTTTGAGTTATGGTCGAAACGTCGTGAGAATTTTTTTTATTGTTTTATATATATTTTATTATTTTGTTGTTTCTCTTCAACGTGACTTTACCGAAAAAACTAAGCATATAGTTTATTCATGTCTCAGCATCTCTATGCTGTCACCTCTTTCCTCGTTAAAACTGACTCTGTGAATACAATCACGAACGTTTAAGTGTGAATGTCATTTTGAACATAATTTCTAATTAAAGTTTTTTTTTATTCTGGAATGCTGCGATGTCTGCCGGCTGAGTCGCCCTTGCAAAAGAGCAACTTAGCTCAATGGGCTTAACTCGATGGGAAATGAGCTTCTTTAGAATAATTGGCTGAATCTGGACTGAGAGCTTTCGTGACTGCAGGAATTCATATTCTTGGGTCTTTTGGTAAAGTCACGTAGATAGGATCAAATAATGTAATTTTTTTGGTTATTTTCTTTGAACCTATCTACGTGACTTTACCAAAAGACACAAGAATAATAATTGGCTGCTAGAAATGTCCACATGATAATAAGCTACTTCGTTGAGCTATCATTTGTGGCCATGTCGCTTCTGAAAAAGAGCTATGTAGCTCAGTGGACCTTTCCTGGTAAAATAAAAATAGTTTTCGAGTTACCTTTCAGATTCTTCAGTCGAGGTAGCGGTGCCCCCTAGAGACGAGAACCCGCCAGCCCCGCTGTGCGTGAGCGACACGCGGGGAAGACAGCGCTCCCCCTGCCGACGGAAATAGGCAAAAGCCGGCAACAAAAGCCTACAACACCTGGTATTCCCAGGCGGTCTCCCATCCAAGTACTAACGAGGCTCGAACCTGCTTAGCTTCCGAGGTCGGACGAGATCGGGCAAGATCGGGCATATTCAGGGTGATATGGTCGTAGGCGAAAGCTTAGTGGAGATTTAGTAGATTCATCTTTAGTTGTGGTAGAATACCCAGATTCCTAAATCCGGCACTAGGACCTCATCATTGGTATTGGGGTTCCGATTCTTCTCATTACTGATCATTGTTTTAAGCAAATGAAATAGGAAACGATGGGACCTGTAAAATTTATTAATAGAGGTTTCTTGAATTTTTTTTTTAATCTCTGGTGAACTGGTTTATTTCTTGGGAGGGGGTGACGGTTCATAGTGGCGGTCGGATACCCACGGTTGGAATGCGGGTTTCAATCCCCCAGAAATGTAAAGTGTTCTCCAGTGCAAGTGGGTTGATGGTCCCAGCTTTCTCTCCCAAAGAATGCACAAAACAAGCCATCGTGAAAAAAATCGTCATTATCATCATCAGCCATGGTCAATCCACTGCTGAATGAAGCCTCCCTAAACATCACCATTTCAGGTGATCCTGCCATCACACAATCTACCCTGAACCTGAGTCCTTCTCTCTCTTCAAGATAGAGTGAAATCTGCGCAGAACGTTACTATTTCTATTTTACAAAGTAAGGCCCACTGAACTATGTAGC